CTCGATTTCAACAGCAATCATCCAACACAACACAAAATAAGCTGCATTCGAACACTTTTCAACAGGATAAACACTCATTGTAATACGGAAGAAGCCAAAAAAACAGAATGCAAGTACTTATACTCCACATTTATTAAAACAATTACCCTAGAAACTTCATAAACAAAACTATATACAAAATACAAAACAAAACACAAACCGACAAAACAACAAAAACCGGACGAAACAGTAAAATCGTCACATTACCATACATAAACGGAACATCAGAAATGACTGCCAGACTTCTTCGACCACATAATATTAACGTCGCCCACAAACCTACAAAAACTCAAATCATGTTTCACCAAACATAAAGACAAAACAACAATTCATGATACAACTGACGCGATCTACATGATACCATGTAAAGACTGTTCAAAACAATACATAGGACAAACATCTAAGAAAATTGAAACAAGACTCACAGAACACAAAAACGCCATAAAACGACGAGATCCGAACTCACTACCGGCAGAACATACCCACGGAAACAACCACACATTCGACTGGACAGAAACTAAAGTACTCGGACGCACACAGCCTAAACACGCACGCGAATTTAAAGAAGCTTGGTACAGTGAAGACAACGACACAATAAACAGACATATCGACATACCCATCATATACTCACAACTAAAGAAAAAGGACAAAAAAACTACAAACAACACCAAAACTAAAACACTACACTCTAATATTATTAACACCAACCATATTAACAACACACCAAAACCCATGGCAACGCATTTCACTCCATCCAATCACATTAATCCACCCACTAATCCAATTAGACGCTCTAAACGTCTCCAAGCTAAAAGCACGTGTAAATAAATATCCTCATTCTGATGAAGGCTCGAAGCAACGAGTCGAAAGCTCAATAAAAATCATTTAAAAATCCGGAGAAACGTTTATCTTTTATATATTCAATGCCTGGATTACAAATTTTCAAACTTATATATATATATATACAAAGTGTATAACAATGTGCCCTCCCGGCTATCAACATAGTAAAGTGGTGACTCCTGCACTTGGGACACAGGACGTACGGTAGCATAACATATATATATATATATGTTATGCTAAATATTAATTGTTTGGAAAATCAAAAAAAAACAAGAATTTCACTTACAGTATCAATATTTGAAATGGGAACTCTTGTTTCCACGAAAGAGAGAGGAACTTCAGTTTATCCAGCAACCAGTTACCTTGCTTCGTAAGATTTTTGCGAGCGCTACCACTTGGAGGAGGTTTTGACTCGTGTAAGCATTTCTCAATGCTTTTATTTTAGCCTTGACCCAATCAACTAAGTAAGAAATTGACGTGTAAGTTCCATTGCGACTATTAATTATATTTTCCAGCAAATAAATTTCTGCTCAACAGCGTGGACTGAATAAAAGAACTAAAAGATTGGAGAATGACTATATAACAAACACTTATAAAATCGATATTTATTATTAACAAATAACAACCTGTTTGCCCAAGATTTTCTGCAATCTCTTGCAGAGCCTTATCTCTTGCGTCTCGATTTTTAAATTCCGACGATCTCACATCGTAAAGACATGGATATTTAGGCCAAATATCAACAAGCTGTACCTCTAATATAACGTCCGCCACAGGTTCCGAGGTTTGGTCTGCCATTTTGTTTTCTCAATCTGCGCATTTTGTCATTTACAGCGCACTTGCTGCTTGCTCTCCGCACACTAGGAACTTTTGTCGATCACACTTGTCTCGAATAACAAGTACGCACGGCAAGTTCACCAGTGTGCGGCGGGCTTTAAATTAACTCTATACGCTAATTGTGAAAATACCCTCAAATTGACTCTATAAGTCAATTTGAAACGTCCATTCAAACAAAAGGCCTGGTGACTTGCCTGCCTGGTCGCAACCACGCAACCTATCATTTACCGCAATCTACTATCCCGCGAAGTTTTGGATATCCTCAATCGTTTAATGTAAAGTGTATGCTCTTCTGATTGAATTTTTTTTTTAAAAATCAATTTAAACGTTAATATTAAGTTGCGTTATTGCTGAAATGAAAGAAAACAATGATAGTGGTAAGTAATTTTACACATTATACGTAAGTCATAAAATTACAAATACTGAAATACATAGGCCAATCCAGTGGCTAATTTATGTATTGAAGGCTATGTTACCTTTTAGGAGACCTAAACTTAGTTTGCTTTTTGAAAAGATAAACAGGAGTGCTTATCCATTCCCTTCTTGGTCATCAATGCATCTTAATGAGCAAACATCAACTCTAGTACACTATTTTACAGATAGAAATTACTATACAAAACTAACAATAGCATGCACATATGAGTGATATGATTTAGCTTAGTTAGCTACACCTGACTGACAGGAACAGTCCACAAGTTAAGGTAACCTTGAATAATATGGATTGTAAGAAACAAAAAGCTTCAAGATTACAATGTTTTAAATACTAAGTAACTTAAGTTTGTCCAAAAGAGTTATATTTTGAAAAAGAAAGTTCTTTCAAGTTAATTTAAATACTTCCCCTTATCATGTTGCTGTGATCACCTGCAAAATACATGTCAATCTGATACTGTAGATATTTTTTCTTTGACAAGTTAAACTATAACAATTTACATATGTAAGTGTGTACAAGATTTTCTATCTGGCAAGCTAAACTGTAAACTGTTTACCATCAAAAAGAAGGGTATTTTCATGGTCAATGTAAAAATTATATAGTGGGACTAAAACCTTTGGCATGATACCTTGCTGTTCCTCAGTATGTTTTTCTCAATATCACATGCTCATTTATTTGTAAAGTTTGTTAATTAGTAATATTAATATTTTAATTTGTTAACATTATTTGTGTTAACAAATTAAAATATTTTGTTGATGTATCTTCCAAAAAATTTGTAGGTTCATCAAATATTTATTGCAAACGAAATACAAGAAGTGTTATGGCATCTTAGAGTCATAATGATTGTGCCCAACAGTGATATAGCAATCTCAGCAGTTTGGGGAGCTGGTATTCATTTGAGTGTTTGTTTTGCCATGCTCAGTTCTTAAAATAATTGTTTCTTCTGGATTAAAACATGCATTAATTTTTTACTTCATTGTTGGCCAAGGTTTCTTAGAGCTTACATATATACAAAACTTAAAACAGCTCAGCAATATAAATATCTTGTGCACCAACTTTCATTGATGCTTTCAACATGCCTAATTTTGCAGTGAGACTAAAAGTGGAATACCCAGCTTGTAATTTGTGATCCTGCTCCATAATTTTAGAGCATCATTATTTCATTTCTGTTGAGATCTATTATTTTAACAGTAAGTGAGAACTTAAGAGTCAACAAAGTGGACTTAAGACATGGGGTGAATACACCAGTGATTTTATGTAAATTTGCTGTGTGTATGGAGCATATCCACTGTGCAAACAATAGATTTCAAAAGAAATGGATATTGATAATGTTTTGAAATTTACATTGCAAGATAAAACTTGCAAACTTGTTATGCTATGCTACCTCTGCTAACATTTGATTTGATGGCTATCAGTGCCATTCTGGCATTAATGGGTTGTGTGCTGATTTATTCATACATTCACTTGTGCCCAAGTGGTTTCTTTGAAAGCAATTCATTTATAGTCAGAAACCAACCAATTTGCATTGTCGAGACAACTCTGATGATTGCAATTTTGGAAAATATGCATCTGTGAGTCATTCCATTTGAAAATTAATCAGCATATTAATTTCACAAAGTAAAACAGTATATGATAGTTTCCTTGATGTTTGAACAATTTCATGCACAATTGACTTTTCATCTAAGGTGTGTATAAAAAGAGGATTTGCAATTTGCAGTAGCATCAATATATATGTATGTATTATTGTATTGACTTTCAGGTTTTGAGAGTCAGCTACTGCTGAATCAAACAAATTCAGTGTCATGATTTTAAAATATTATACATATTATACCCATTGCTTTCATTATTCAAGTATGCATGAATATAATTTTTTAAATAAAGAACTGATTTTTAAAAATGATGTTAAAACTAAAGGAAATTAAAATAATGACCTGTTGTTGTAGTTAAGAAATTAAAGGCAATTACTGTTTATTAGGTAAAACTCAGCGACACACATTTATTTAATGTTCTTGTGCTATTCTGCCCTCATCGTTATCATCAAGCAAAAGTTTATCATATATCAAACGTCTATGAAGCGTACACTGTGTATTAAAACTGCATTTTGAATTGTTGCTTTTATTATGTTTAAATTGTGTTTTCAATTGTATGCATGTTGCTGAAACTGGGGATTAAAAATACACAGTTTTCTTGCACTTAAAGGTTACGTAAATGATGTGATTAGTTTCATGTTTGTAGATGTAGATCGTCCAGGTTAGTAGAGTTTGAGAAGGACTGTTTTTGTTGTTGTTGACTGACGTTTCGACAACCTTAGCGGTAGTCATCTTTAGAGTCAAAGTGACATTAAATAATTTTAACGTCCGTCAACAACAACAAAAACAGTCCTTCTCAGGACTCTACTGACCTAGACCCTAAATAATTTTTACCTAATTGGTGGTGCACTTCTATGTTATAGAGGACTAGCTCATTCCAAAGAGGCCCTCTTCCGTCTCAATACCACAATATTCGACCACGACAAGACAGAAAATGCTGCTAATGAGAAGGGTTAGATATGTGTTCTTTAATGTATCTTACGGTATTGGAGCAGATGTTAAAATATCAATTTATAATTTGATTGGTTTCGGAATTTTCTATAATATCAATGTATAATTTGATTGGTTTTCGGAATTTTCTATAATATCAATGTATAATTTGATTGGTTTTCGGAATTTTCTATAATATCAATGTATAATTTGATTGGTTTTCGGAATATTCTATAATATCAATGTATAATTTGATTGGTTTCGGAATTTTGATTGGTTTTGGACTTTTTTTGTAGGCTCAGACTCTTCATCAGAACCACGGCTATCATGTGGTGGTAATGTATTATCACCTATCAACCACTGGAGGTCCAACCGTCTGGGATTATGCTGCAACTCCTGGCTTGGCGACAGATTTTATTAGCAGCAGTGGTGTAATTGGAAAATCAGCCAGAAACTTGTTTCAAACCGGGATGAAGAAGTTATGGCAAGATAGAAATGAAGATAGTCAATCTACAGATCTTTCATCTACAAATACTATCCCTGCCTCTACTTCCCCTTTCGTGTCGTTTTCTGTTTCCCCTTCTATTTCAGCATCTTCATCTGTAACTCTTTGTAGCTCTGTTACAACCTCTCTTCCAGTTAGTAGCGCTGTTTCAACATTCATTCCTATACGCAAAGATCTTCATTTTAATACGATTTCCGCGACTTTCGAATCTTCCTTCCTCTTTGCTGCTACAAATACCAATACAAATGTCGTCACTGATTCTTTTAGCACTAATCCCACTCTGGCCTCTTCTAGTAGATGTACCTCTATCGGCAATTCTTCATCTGTTTCAACCTCTTCTTCCTCTTCTTCAAGCTCCTTCGTCGCTACAACATCTGTGTCTACCATATCTAAAACGACTGCTCCATCTGTCCCTACAGCAACTTTTAGCAAAGGTCAGGAATAGTGTACATAGGTGTTAGTATTAGAATGGTTGATTTTTTAGTTTCTTAGAAGTTATCAGGTTGTCGCAAAACAAGTTCGATCTTTTGTTGATTAATTTTGTCATCAACATTGAACACATTTGACAACAATAGACATGACCAAACACACATGACTACTTTCAGCTTTAAAATGTTAAAACTTGATTTGGTTCTTTGGCATCTACGTACATGCCGATGATGCGTAGCAATATTTCTTCTGTCATAAATAGTGATTAACGAAGCAAATGGCTATGTCTTGAATTTAAATTGTTTCATGTACACTTAGGAACTGTTGTAGCATTGGCCAACGAGAATGGTGTAGCGTGTGGTTTTGGATGTGTCTCAGGAATGTCGAAGGTGCATAATCGGCCCGTGACTCCCGGCTACCTATCTGTCTTTTTTACTAGTGTGGTACCGGGGAAAACAGTTGCTCCACCATTTCCTGGTCCATTCGACGAAGATGTCGTAAGACCTGGCGAGTCTTACATTTCGCCAGTTGACAGAATGTTTGTTGCTGGACCAGATGATTTTACTCACAATATATAACTACGTAAATCTTCCGCAATTTTTTTCTTTGTGGATTTTATTATTTTCGTAAAGAAACTTCCTTGTATATGTATATTATAGTAAATTTTCTATTTTTGTGCCTGATCTTAAAGTGGAAATATTTTTTTTAATATTGTATTATAAAAAGAACAGATTTTATATTATGCGCGTCGTATCACGTAAGAAGTCCAAATAAAAAATTTCCGAGTCGTGAAATAAGACATTTATAACTACTTTGAACTTCACACTTTTTGTACTGCAGAGGAATTTCTTGTAAGTTATTTCTTAAAGTTTTCACACGGTATATCAATGAATGGAAAATGGCGATTTTGATGGAATAAAAAATGTAGGGTAAGGCAGCGTGCTAAAACGTTTATGCATGTTTTACAACAGTGGAATGAACATGAGCGAGAAGACTTTAGTTTCTCTTACTAAAATGTTTACAAAAACAAAGACATCGTGGAATCTTTATTCAATTCTTCATTTGTTCTTCTTTGAGTTAAATATTTTTTAAGTTTACGTTTATGCGGATGCTTATGTCATGTCCTTTAGAAATCAGCCAATAGTGAAATATTTAATGCGTGATGATATTGTTGTGCAGATTTCACTGTTACAATTTACGTTAAATTTTAAAAAACAATAACTTGAATGCTAGTTGCAACATAGATATATAGTTTATAACCAAATGAAATGAGATGCACTTTCTCACGTAAAAATTGACGTATGAAAAATATCTGTAGTCGCAGCCTATAGTGACAGAGCATAAGAAAATACAACAATAGATTAAATGCTAAATATATGTTCTACTTCATAGATCATACACTCATTCTTTCATAATTGCATTAAAAATATTCCAAAATAAATAGATTAGAAAATAAAATTTGCGATATGTCTTAGAACAACTAGAGCTCATTTATTATCTAAAATATTTATGTAATACACGTACACGATTTTATTCAAGTGTTGTTCACCTATTAATCCCAAAATAAAGATGATTTAAAAGTTTTTCTATGGAGATGCATAATAAATTCAGAAAAAAAGCGTCAACTGTTGCGTCAAAAAAACACACTAAGACGCCAACAACCAACGAACTATATTCTAGGTGTATCAAAAAAGTAGACTCTTGGAAAAAATTTTCTAAAATAAGACGCGCATGTGTATTTTAACGTTCTCTGGTACAGCTGATAATGATTTATTTGCAAATTGAATAAAGTACAATATGAGATTAAGAAGCCAATTCCAAAGGTAAGTAAAGTGCGAGAAAGCAAAAAAACGTCAAGTGTTTTAAAGATCTTGCGTTGACCAGCGCTTGCTCTCAAATTGCTTGCAATTACGATAGCTTGCACAACCTCCTCCATATTTTGACTCAGGATAATTAAATTGTCTTTTCAATGAAAATTTTTCGTGCGCAAGGCCTGTTTTGAAGGACTTTTACCAGCAGATTTTTCACTGCTATAACATTTTGCATTTTTGAAGCTTTCATTTACACTATATACACTGTTTAGGCTATACACATTATTTACGCTATATAGGCTATATACACTATTTACACTATATAGACGGAGTGTAACACAAAAGAAGAAACAATGGAAAGATAAAAGTATTATTATAATGTATAGTAAAAATATTGTGTTTAATATATTGTTTATAACATACATCAAACGACTTTTTCTGCATACGGCATTCCCACATCATACCTTGACGTTCTATAAAGCAATTGGTGACGTATTGCTTGCCATTCATATTAGAAAAATCGGTAAAGGCTGCTTTCATAGAGTTAAGTACGAATTGCACAATTTATTAACCAAATTTAAAACAGAAATGTCTACAATCTTGATGAAACATGTTTTCAATCACTTTTGTTAACAAACAACTTATAACAGCTGCAAATGGTGAATGGCTTCCTTACATCCAGGGTGTCTGAGATATAGATATGTACGTAGTAACCACTTTCTTGAGAGCTATGTACTGGAATTGAACCAGTATACCAGCTAGTGGCTGGTAGCCATTCATAGCTTTTTGGTTACGTGAGTGAGAATGAGCGATTGTTAAATCAATAAATCTATCTCAGAGGAATCAGAAATCTAAATATCCATAATTTGTAGAAGATCATAGATTGTTGCAAAATAGGCCGTTTGCACTGGACAACTACAAATGCGTGTATCTTCTTAGATGTATATACTTGCAAGTGTACGTGCATACATTTTATTTACAAAAGAGGAACATGCAAATAATTTTCTATTTATAAAAGTGCACACAAAAATATGATAGCACAGCTTTCAGCAACAAAACACTACGAATTATATGCATCTTCTTCTTCAACATCTTCATGAACGTCATCTTCATCACTACAGTCTAATTCACTGTCACTACCGTATACTTTGACTATGGACTGTTCTAAGTCGTGAAAGTATTGAAAATTTTTTTCATCTGCACTCTAGCAAATGCAATTCCACTGTTTGTGATAGCGAGACGACCATGCATAGTCTTTTCGCACACAATAGCGATGTTTATATTCATCTAGAAGAAAGATCTATAAAACAAACATAATCCTGTCAATAAGCATGTTCGTATTTTAAAAGATTGGTGTCATTTTCTCTACTTATCTGACCTCTGTTTCAAGGAAAGAATAGTCATTAGATTCATCAACATTATTTGTAAATACTAAAAAAATAATTGCAAAATATGTTAAACGCATGTACATTACACTGTATATAAATACGTAATCTTTAAGCTTGTTTTAACATAATACGAACATTTATCTGTATACCTATCCTATCTTTAGTCTTCTCTTTTCCTTCACAAAGGAGAGGCAAAACATTTTCCAAATAATAAATCATATAATTTTTCATCTCCATGTTCAAAAGTGCTTTTTCCTCTTCCAATCTTTTAACTACCATGTACTTATCGACAATTTGTGCCTTGAAACGCACAGGTATATCTAAATCTTGTAAAGTAAAATAGTTGAAACTAAAAGAGAGCATGGACGTCACAATATACATAGAACTGTAATTGCTATTGTTTTACACACCATGTGAAGTCGTACTATCTATGTCACACTGGTTAAACGACTAAACAAAATCTCCAGACATGACTTCTTCCGCACTTGTTGTAGGAAGCACACAGACTTGAGAGGCAATTTAACTCTTCTACGGTGGATGTTATTTTGGACTTCTCTTCAGCACATTTCCTTCTCATGGAAGATCTTCGTTTGCTAGAATCTACAGAACGTGCGTGTCGTAATTTTTCAGTAATTTGGAAAAATGTTTTGAAATATAAGTCGACATATTTCTACCAGGATGGCGTAGATAGTATTTATCCGTTAACTTTTAGATAAAGCACGATTTATCTCGAATAAAACTGTTCCATATTTTGCATTTTGTGTCGCCTACATCTAAAATCTAACTCACTTTGATTTTGCTACGAACTTTAAAATAATGCTTACAGTTACTCATAAAAAAACCTCCAACAAAACTCACCAGCAATAGAAGTTATTTCTTTTGTGCGTCTAGTGACTGAAAAATACAACATTTCTAATCTCTTCTGCAGCTTTGCTACTGTGATTTTTGCCAGCTGCGACTTTCCTTGCTCAAGAAGCTGCTCCTCTGTCACATGTCCATCTAAAAGCTGTCTTTTCAATTCCAGCAATCTTGTTGCATTTTGTTCAAGTTGTTTCACTTTGTTTTGAGCATCATGAACGAAACACCTATCACCCAAAAATGTCCGCGTTTGATCATCGTTGGCTTTTACAAAATTCTCCAAATGTTGAGCATTATCAACAGTTTGATGCAAAAGGAAGAAATCTTCGGCGGCACTTTTCAACGAAGAAACTCCAATTTGTTGTTCTAGACAAACAATAAAAAAAATTAATTTATCTACGTAATTACTAAGCACTCCCTGAGCCAGGCCAAGAATTATTTAATATAGTTTCGTTTTAAATGATGTTTGAACAAAAATCAACCATTAGTACAGAACTGTAAAATACTAAACCATGTTTCTAAAAAATATTTGAAAGTAAACAATGTTACCTCTCGCAAATTGTTGAACTTCTTCTTTCCACTGCATTATCGAGTCGTCCAAGTCTGAATCCTGGACATTAAGTTCGCTTCTTAACTTTACATAATCGTCTCTGGCAGATGAAAGTTGCCTTTCGGTCTTCGAAATTGCCTTGCCTTGCCTTGCGTCATCCAATGCCAGATGGCTCAGGTAAAACATGAACGTATTCCAAGTGGCAGCGATGGCGATCTGCTATTGCAGTCGACAGGTCTTGTCCAGACAAGCCTGTTTCTTCCTCAATGATGTTCTTGAGGGTGACAAACGGGCGCCCAATTCTTCTTTTTGCTGAGGGTGTCCATAGCAGAAGCCTACCAGCGGGCTCTTCATGACGACTAACATTGCCCGCAAGAGTCAAACGCAGCTGACGAACCGTTTCAGACACACGAGGAAGCGTACCGTACAGAGATTTGTTGCATGGTAGGATGGCTTTTCCAAGAGATGTCATAGGCGTGTCTAAGCATTCTTGTGTATGTGCCGTCGAGACGCTTTTTACGTTTCACATTTAGCGTCCATGAATCTGACCCGTAGAAGTATGATTTCAATGCAAGCCTTGAACACTTTAGTCTTTGTTGACTTCTTGATTGGAGACTTCCAAACTGCCTGAAGAGAATGCAGCGCACTCCATGCCAACGCTATTCTGACAGACATATCATGCTCAGTATCTGAATAACCGCCAAGGTACTTGGAGTCTTCAACATAGTCAATTTTTGAGCCGTCCGATGCAAACAGGGGACACATTATGAAAAACAGTGAAAGGACAATTATAAAAAACAATGAAAGGACACATTATGAAAAACAGTGAAAGGACACATTATGAAAAACAGTGAAAAAGAAATATATTAGCGCAGTAAACATATTGGGTTCAAAAAACACCTATACACAACTATGAACTGTAAATTCATGTCATGTTATACACGTACGTAGCACACATTAGAATCATGGACTCACACTAGTATAATTTTGACAATTAACTGAAGACATATACAACGTGTAACCTTTTCATTCGAATAACAAGGAGTTTGCCAAGTTTAAAATTTTCGCTTGTTCCAACTCAGAAGGTGTTCAGTAATGCATTCTTCTCGTCCTTAATACGTACAACCATTAATGTGCACATTAGTTCGTGGACTTAATCGATCAAAAAACCTGAGTGGATACGCAGATAAGAAAATAATACTCACCGGAAGTCGTCATATTTTTAGTAGTCGAGCCAAGTCTTGACAAATACGAATTTATTTGCTCAACTTCTTCGCCAGAAGTTGCTGCCGCACCACAATGCAATCTTCCGCTCCAAATAACCTAAAAAGTGTGAAAAAAATCATCCATTCAAGACAACCCATTTCAGATTTACGTAACAACGGTTTAGTTACGTGAAATACAGTATTATTACAGTTTGACAAAGCACGCTTCGTCTCATAACATCTTTAATAGAGCATTATCGTCGGCGTATGTGGTATTTAGTTTACGAGTTGTTGGGTAAACAATCATAACCTACGTATGTAACGTACCTGACATGACCAACTGTGTGATTTCCCATGCATTATAGACAGTGCTGGTGCAATATTTCTTAGCGCATTTTGATTTTCTTCCTATGTAACACGTAGAACCCTGCGTAGAACATGTAGAACACGTCGAAAAAATGCTTTAACCTAATAATAGATTACTACCTTTCAATCCTACTTCATAACACATTACCTGAATTGACTTTGAACCAAGACTTTTTAAATGAGAGTCCACAAAACTATTGTTTGCAATCAATACATCACGATAATAACACTGGACTGGACCCCTGTGGTAAAAGTAAGTTATCAATTTAGAACACAAGCCCTCATAAACTTAACAATGCAGGTAAAGAATCAAACATGAGCAGTAGGTCTTTTTCTTGGATTTGTTGAAATTGGTTCAAATTATTAAAACATAAAAATATCTGAATCATTTACAAAGGGTAATTCCATTTTTGCAAGTTTGAGAATTTGCCATCCAATATCACAAACCTTGGTACTTTGCTGAATCTGTACACTTTTTGATTTCCATCAACATGACATGAATGTTGATCAATACTACAAGGAGGACAATTTTTCCATGTCTGCTCATGAAGAAGGTCAATTTCATGTTAGCAATAGCTCCATTCAGCAAACAATTTTCTGAATGTGACTGGATTGATAACATTTCACATCAAAACATAGCACAATTATATACTATTTGTTGATTATGCAAAACCCAACTGTACTATAATATATTCTCATACTTTAACATACACATTATATGAAGCTACAAAATTGACATGTGCTTGTTACAAATTTTAAACAAATTTTCCTTGAATTTCCAGAATTTACTAAAATTCACAGAAAGAAATGATCATAAAGAATTATTTTGAAACCAAGATTTACGTCTTGTAGCTTTTGGTTTGTGAGGGAAAAAATATATACAAAATAAAAAGCACACTAACAAAGACATGTAGATAGCATAAAAATTAATCACCCTTCCTCTAGAGCTGCAAATATCTTCCAAACTTCTTACAAAAGCAGATTGTGATGACCCAGGCATCCTCTTTCTAAATGCATCCCACAAATTAAAGACATCTGACTAAATATGTAATGAACATTTTCAGGGCTACCAGGCCACCAGCCACTCTCAATTATACTGTCAACAGAAATTGGTGACTACTTCCATTGAAAAGATGAGCGATGTACAGTGAACCGATTAAGACCAAATCGTCCTGTTGAAAAAAAATATAATCAAAGATAACCAGTACAGTGCTGAAAATATGTGCTTCGAAGAAATCAAATCCTGGGGTTTCATAAGAAGCCAGCAACTTCATTGATGATTTGAAGTTTTTAGTTTCAATTTAAAGTTCATGAATTAGTGTACAATCCAACCTGCTGCCTATGTATTTTTCTCAATAATCAGCCCCTAACAAATCAGATTTTAATATGATGCATTATATGTACATCCATATAACAAAAAATGTTATTTGGACTCAGTAAATAAATTGTATAAGGACATTTTCACCTTCACATGTGATCATAATCATAAGAGAATTGTTGGTAATTTTCATAATGGATTCATTACACAACTGACATGATGATGGGTAAAGGATGGGACATGATCAATCTACAAAGATAACAGCATCATCACAGAAAAACATTTCTCTCACATAGGGCACAACAAAAAACAACAAATATTTATACAAAATTCAATAGTATCTACATTATACTTACCAATGCTGCAAATCTTTCCATCAGATGAAATGGATTGTGTAGGCTCGATATATTGAAAATAACCATCCAACCACACTTCTCGATCATGGAGAGGATTGTTCTCATGGACATCATTATCGATTCTCTACAAATATATCTCAACACACCACATTGTCTGCATCTTAGTACAGCTTCATTTTATTGCATCTCCAACACTTTATAGAAGATAAAGGAGGAGCAAATGATTACACAGTGACATTAAATAATTTTTCCCTCATACTTTCCCATTTTTCTTCTCGATTTTCCATTTTTTTGCCAGGCAGATGGCCCAGTATCCACTTCTCCAATAACCAACTGAGAGCTTTCAAGAATAGCTTCAAGATCTAAAATGAAAATGAAATGATTTTATGACATAAAGCTGTTTCCTTTTCTATTTTCTTTTCTAAAATATGATACAAGAGTACATTGAAGTCTTAAAAGCACAGTCACATGTGTATAAAATATAAAAACTATGTATAGATGCAGTGGCCTGGACAGCACAAAATTTTTGCTTCTGTTATGTAAAGTTGAGATGTAAGAAGTATTATCAACAACCTCTTTCAGTAACACTGTCATCACATATCATTCCTGTGGAACATCATGTAAATCTGAAGATGTTGTAAGCATTTCCTCACCTATGATAGTAATAACAACAAGTAACATAAAACGTAACATACAAGTTACACAAAATCTAAAATGCTGCTATTTCTTTGATAAAAGTATTATTTCCGAGCACACACCTCTTTGTGTATTTCTATTTCTCGAAGTGCTTTGCTTGGCTTATGAATAATCCGTTCGCCAACTTCACTTCTTTGAAGAACTATATCTCTTCTGGCATTTTTCTTCTTAATAGTTTTATTTCTACCACGAACATCTAGCATTAGGCAAAGAACTGGCAAAGGAGCCACTCATGTCACAAGGCCTGTTGTTTGAATGGACGTTGCAAATTACTTATAGAGTCAATTTGAGGGTATTTTCACAATTAGCGTATAGAGTTAATTTAAGGAAGAGACTGGGTTGTGTATGTCAGTCGTATGTACTTGTATGTACTCGTATGTCACTCGTATGTACTCGTATGTACTCGTGTAGTGTTTTAGTCACGATCATCTCCCACTAATTTATCACGACATTGAGTTTTGTTTGAGATCATACAAACATTTTTTTTATAACGTATACAAGACCATTGCACATAAGTTAATTGGAAGTTAAGTAATCTGGAGCAAAATGTAAGTGAATTCCAGTTGAGCTGCAATGTAGATTATAATTATCTGTTTCTATTCAATGTTAGCTACATTGCCACAACATATACATTATAGGTATATGAATGAGACATGCAAGGCGTTCAGAAAATTTAACATGCATTTTCTGCACGATTAGTATGTACAATTCAAAAAATGTTAATCCTTAACATAATATTTCGGAATTTATGTAAAGAATATTCTTAAGATGCATTTTAAGATGCAAACTTTTTTGCGTTTTGCATGCTTCCGCACACGAGAATTTCACATAACTTATATGAACTTATATATCAAGAAAATGGCATTAGCTACAAATAGACAATCAGGTCGAAAGCTAATCGCATATTGACCATTCCTAAATTTACTATTAAAGTCTAGAGGCAGTTTGATGTTTCTTATTGCTATATAACAGTAAATATAAACAAATACATCGAAATCTACATAAATCTTTGTGAAGGTTTAGTTATAATGAAAAATTCCTAGTGTGCAGCATGCATATAATAATCTTATATAATAAACATGTTTTCTTTACTTTGGTAATGTTAAACTATTTACGAGATGATGAAGATGCTGGATTTGTGGCCATAACTTTTGCTCACGAAAATGAATTGCGTTAAAGGGACTCTACACAAGAAGTCTTTTTCTCCAACTGATTTGCATATATTACCAAGGAAACTATCTATCACATAGCTTGAAAATTATGTCTTGCTGTATTCGCTACGGGCCGTATGACTCAAAACAATTTCTCTTGTGTTTCTTGCACGCAATAAATATATTTCTCTACTCTTTATACTCTTGAGTGGTAATTTCACAAAGTTTGGTGAATTAATTCAATTTGTCATAACTTGTCACTTGCTAAGTATTTTGCTGGCTAAATAAGAGCTTTGAAATGTTTTTATTAATCTGAATTTTTCGATTTTAATGGAGGTTTTATAATGTTTTAGAAAGCAGTTTTGAATTGGATAAAAAATGGGAATATAACTATGGACTTTTACGATCTCGAAGGGACGAAGGTGCTGTTTCGTTTGTCGTTTGAGGGACTGCTTGAGACCATTTGACGAGTTCATGTGTGTTCTTTTATTAGTATAGAATAATGTTTGATCTGTTTTAATAACCATCGTATTGTTATATTCTTTTGCCATATTCAGTTTTTTATTGATCTCCGCAAGCGTCGGCCAATAAATAGCAAAAGTAAATCAGTTTTGTGCTTTTTTTGCCTGAAAAGTGCATCTGCATTCATGAAATTCATAGACTCATTGTAACAACACATTCAGACTATAAACAACTGTTTGAAAATTATGAGCTTTAACGAAAATGTGTAAACACAATCTTTTCTATTTAAATTTATATACATACAGTTATACTACCATTTCTGGGGCTGGTAAATAGGAGCAGTGGCGGATCTAGGGTAAGTCAGAACACATTATTGTACCTCATTTTGAATCCAAAATACCATTATATTAAAACAGCTGGGTAAAAAATTCTAAAGAATATGTTAAAGGCATAATCTTGTCAATCTGATCGTTTATAAAGTATTTTGAATTGTAAAAAAAAACATGACCAGACGACAATTTAAAGAAAAAAATAAAAAGCCAATTCCGAAAACATAAGACATCTTGAGATTGCAAAATATGAATCAAAATAAGACGAGAAGTGAACTGTAAATTTTCGACTTTATTTCAAAGTCATCTTCAGACAGAATGATATTCAAAACCATACATACACATATATATTTACAACGCATGAAATAAGTAAACGGAAGTAAGCAATAAATTGTCGGCTGCTCATGGTTTTTGGTCTAAACTCGGAAACACCGACTTTGATTTACACAAACAATGCATACGCTAGCAAAGATCACGACGACATTATGAGAAAGCTCTACATGATTTGAAATTCTTAATCAATTGGTAAGAATAATCAAGTCTAACCTAAATTTGTAAGATGGAAGAATATCACACAAATCCCCAGCAAAAATAATACGCATCAATATAGCTACTTTTTCTAAATGAATTCGGCGCAAGATGTCTATCTTCCAAAATAGCCTGTTATGTTACAAGCGACATATACAAATTTTCTATTCTGAAACCATTGCGCGAGAACAATTCAAGAATGTTAAAATTTCAATTGGCGTAACTTGTAACTTGATTGATTTCCCCCTTTCTATTTGAAGACATGCGAGAATTTGTCAAAACACATTATTTTACCGCTGACTGCACCATTTTCTGTCATTTAAGACGACGCACAACCTGGAAATGTATAGCTTGTATTGTTTTATGGAATATGTATGGTTTTAGCTTGTTATTATCTAACAAATTATTGTAAATTGCATAATTGTCTTAAACAAAATGAAGATAAAAACCCAGAAATAGATGAAAGGTGAAAGCCGAGCATTAAGATCTTGAATTAAAGAAAATTGCACAGTAGATTGTAATGCACCGCCATTCCATAAATTCCATCTCAGTAAAACTTGACTAATATATGTTGTCTCCCACTAATTTATCACGACATTGAGTTTTGTTTGAGATCATACACATTTTTTTATAACGTAAACAAGACCATTGCACATAAGTTAATTGGAAGTTAAGTAATCTGGAGCAAAATGTAAGTGAATTCCAGTTGAGCTGCAATGTAGATTATAATTATCTGTTTCTATTCAATGTTAGCTACATTGCCACAACATATACATTATAGGTATATGAATGAGACATGCAAGGCGTTCAGAAAATTTAACATGCATTTTCTGCACGATTAGTATGTACAATTCAAAAAATGTTAATCCTTAACATAATATTTCGGAATTTATGTAAAGAATATTCTTAAGATGCATTTTAAGATGCAAACTTTTTTGCGTTTTGCATGCTTCCGCACACGAGAATTTCACATAACTTATATGAACTTATATATCAAGAAAATGGCATTAGCTACAAATAGACAATCAGGTCGAAAGCTAATCGCATATTGACCATTCCTAAATTTACTATTGAAGTCTAGAGGCAGTTTGATGTTGCTTATTGCTATATAATAGTAACTATAAACAAATACATCGAAATCTACATAAATCTTTGTGAAGGTTTACTTAAAATGAAGAGTTAATTTCTAGTGTGCAGCACGCATATAATAATCTTATATAATAAACATGTTTTCTTTACTTTGGTAATGTTAAACTATTTACGAGATGATGAAGATGCTGGATTTGTGGCCATAACTTTTGTTCACGAAAATGAATTGCGTTAAAGGGACTCTACACAAGAAGTCTTTTTCTCCAACTGATTTGCATATATTACCAAGGAAACTATCTATCACATAGCTTGAAAATTATGTCTTGCTGTATTCGCTACGGGCCGTATGACTCAAAACAATTTCTCTTATATTTCTCGCACGCAATAAATATATTTCTCTACTCTTTATACTCTTGAGTGTTAATTTCACAAAGTTTGGTGAATTAATTCAATTTGTCATAACTTGTCACTTGCTAAGTATTTTGCTGGCTAAATAAGAGCTTTGAAATGTTTTTATTAATCTGAATTTTTCGATTTTAATGGAGGTTTTATAATGTTTTAGAAAGCAGTTTTGAATTGGATAAAAAATGGGAATATAACTATGGACTTTTACGATCTCGAAGGGACGAAGGTGCTGTTTCGTTTGTCGTTTGAGGGACTGCTTGAGACCATTTGACGAGTTCATGTGTGTTCTTTTATTAGTATAGAATAATGTTTGATCTGTTTTTAATAACCATCGTATTGTTATATTCTTTTTGCCATATTCAGTTTTTTATTGATCTCCGCAAGCGTCGGCCAATAAATAGCAAAAGTAAATCGGTTTTGTGCTTTTTTTTTGCCTGAAAAGTGCATCTGCATTCATGAAATTCATAGACTCATTGTAACAACACATTCAGACTATAAACAACTGTTTGAAAATTATGAGCTTTAACGAAAATGTGTAAACACAATCTTTTCTATTTAAATTTGATATACATAGTTATACTACCATTTCTGGGGCTGGTAAATAGGAGCAGTGGCGGATCTAGGCTAACTCACAACACATTATTGCACCTCATTTGGAATTCAAAATACCATTACATTAAATCTGCTGGTTAAAAAATTCTAAAGAATATTTTGAAGGCAAAATCTTAGCAATATGATCGTTTATAAAGTATTTTGAATTGTAAAAAAAACTATGACCAGCCGACAATTTAAAGAAAAACAATATAAAGCAAAATCCGAAAAAAACAAGACATCTTGACATTGCAAAATATGCATCAAAACAAGACGAGAAGGGAACTGTAAACTAAAAATGAACTGAAATAAGCAAACGGAAGTAAGCAATGAATTGTCGGCTTTAAATTGTCGGCTGGTCATGGTTTTTGGTCTAAACTCGGAAACACCGACTCTGATTTACACAAACTATGCATACGCTATCAAAGATCCCAACGACGTTATGAGAAAGCTCTACATGATTTTAAAGTCTTAATCAATTCTTAATCAAAGAATAATCAAGTCTACTCTAAATTTGTAAGATGGAAGAACATTACACAAATCCCCAGCAAAATAATACGCATCAATATAGCTACTTTTCTAAATGAATTCGGCGCAAGATGTCTATCTTCCAAAATAGCCTGTTACGTTACAAGCGACATATACAAATTTTCTATTCTGAAACCATTGCGCGAGAACAATTCAAGAATGTTAAAATTTCAGTTGGCGTAGCTGGTAACCTGGTTCATTTTCCCCTTTCTATTTTAAAACATGCGATAATTTGTCAAAACGCATTACTTTATCACTGACTGCGTCATTTTCTTTTATTTAAGCGACTCACAACCTGGATATGTATAGCTTGTATTGTTTTATGGAGTATGTATTTTTTTAGCTTGTTATTATCTAACAAATTATTGTAATTTGCATAATTGTCTTAAACAAAATGAAGATAAAAACCCAAAAATAGATGAAAGGTGAAAGCCGAGCATTAAGATCTTTAATTAAAGAAAATTGCACAGTAGATTGTAATACACCGCCATTGCATAAATTCCATCTCAGTAAAACTTAACTAATATATGTTATCTCCCACTAATTTATCACGACATTCAGTTTTGTTCGAGATCATACACACGAATTTGTGTAATTTTCACAAGTTCCTCTTGTAGAATCAAGAAAATGATTAAAACTGAACATTTTTTTATCACGTATACAAGACCATTGCACATAAGTTAATTGGAAATTAAGTAATCTGGAGCAAAATGTAAGTGAATTTTAGTCGAGCTTCAATGTAGATTGTAATTATCTGTTTCTATTCAATGTTAGCTACATTGCCACGACATCTATATTATAGGTATATGAATCAGACATGCAAGGCGTTCAGAAAATTTAACATGCATTTTCTGCATGATTAATATGAACAATTTAAAAAATGTTCATCCCTAACACAATATTTCTGAATGGATGAAATGAATAATCTTAAGATGCATTTTAAGATGAACACATTTTTACACTAAAGCTATTTTTGTGTTTTGCATGCTTCCGTACACGAGACTTTTCACATTGAACAACATTTAAAATTAAAGAAAAAAAGCTTGAAATTCCTTTACAACTTAAACGAAGCACGAATCAAATCAATCGCAACCTGCAATAAGGCTTATTGAAGAAATTGCAATTTTTCTCTTTATTTCAGCTTTGTGTCATAAAATATCTTTCATCTTAAACAATCAATCACTTTGATTCATTGTTTGATATTTAACTTATATATCATGAAACTGGTAATAGCTAGAAATAGACAATCAGGTAGAAGGCTAATCTCATATTGAACATTCCTAAATTTACTATTAACTTCTGCAGGCAATTTGATGTTGCTTATTGCTATATAATAGTAACTATAAACAAATACATCGAAATCTACATAAATCTTTGTGAATGTTTACTTTCCAGCGAACTGAACAACTTTAAGTGGTTCAGTGAAGCTAACTAACTGGCGTTAAACAGTTACATCAATATTTGATTCCCAGCTTTGCGCAAAGTTTAATTACTGAAATAGCTCAGAAAACGGTAAATGCCTACTATATAGCACTAAGTTAGAGACTATGAAAACAATCTTGTTTGATTTACAATCACTCTTCTGGTACAATCTAGAAAATAATTACAATGGAGTTTTGGATTGAGAAAATGTACAAAAGAAACAAGTAAATTGCAAATTCTGAAATAAAGCAGTCCAGTTGCAATGTTAGACCACAACAGCCACTAAAACTAACATCATTGATAATTATACTTGACACTTACATCATGTTTCCTAGCTCACTGATAAAAGGATCATAGTTATCAAAGCTATGAATATGAATTTTAAGATGCATTATAAGGGGAATTTTTTGTGTTTCCTGTTTGGTAAGTAGAATAATTAATCTAAAAAAAGAATATGTTGGAATTTGCATAACTTTTTTATGTAGCTATTATTTTCATTGTCTCACTCACTATTGTGAATTCATGAGGGAGTTATGTATATCCTCCACCCTAAACGAAATTTTCATTTTTAGGCTAACAGCCTTTAGGAAAACATTGTCGTTGATGGTAACTTTCATGGTGCTTACTTAAAGGTATGAATTTGTACATACAAAGCCTAAATATAGCTTTCAAATAAAAGCATTTTAAAAAAGTGCTTGGGTATCAATTTACAATTGGTGTTAAAATTCTTGAATAAAAACGCACATTTCCGCTGTTCTATAGTTGTTGTGGATTAAAAATAATGTCAGTTATCGAATATATTTTACTGATATTAATGCTTCATTTGCTGTTGCTACACTCCTTTCACAATTATACGACCTATGTAGTTTTTGTTCACATTTTTCTCACAAAGCCGTATGTATATATATATATATATACATATGAAGTTTATAAGTGATGATTATCCGTATAAAACAGTGCTCGATGCCCTAGAGCAGAGCGTAAATATATGTAGTGATGTTGAAAAAACTCACGAAAACTACAGACTTATCCCGACAAGCCTGTTTCGTGATTTCTCACTCTTCAGGGGATTTAATGAATAAATACTTAAATGTTTAAAATATATATACAAGATGACGGAAGCTAGTATATTAATTAAGGTGTATAGTTACAAGTTAAATGACGGAAGTTAGCGTATGTGAATACTGAGTTCGGTCGAGTTTCGTAGTTTTTTGTGGCGGAAAGAGGCAGTGTGATTTCTATGTCTAGTTTTAAATTCGTTTTCTGTAAGTCCAATGTACGTCTCAGTTGTGTTATTTTCCTTGAGTTTCACAGTAGCTTGATAGACGACGGATGATTGTAGGCAGTTTCCGTTAAGTGGGCAGTTTTGCTTTTGTCGGCAGTTGCATGTTTTGTATGTGTCTTTTGTTTGCGGTGTTGTCGTCAGTTTGTCTGATGCTCTCAGTATATGTTTGTTATGATTGTTGATTATTTGTTTATAACTTCCTATTACGCTTCAAGAAAAAATTTTGTCAAGCACTCTACGATAATCCGCAATGGAGAAATTCAACTTCAACTACAGCTTCAAGAACATTCTTTCACCATCACCGAATGAATACTTACAACGACTTATTGAAAAATCTGAGACCTTCCTTCGTAATATGCGCTGGAAAGCTTACTTCCTCCTGAATCCGAATACTACCATCACTTATAAAGATACCTATGGCTTCAAGAGCAGTAAAAACCCTCCACCGATTGACGACCTAAAAGATTTCGAGAAAGACATGACGAAAATGATACAATCAATAAAATTTAAAGACGTGAACAGCACATTCCTTAACAAAATGAAAGACAACACCACTACCATGAAACACGAAACGAAGCTACTAATCGCTGCCGACAAAACAACAAATTTCTACAAACTAGACAAGCCAGCATACTACGACCTCCTTGAACAAAATATCACAAAATCATACAAGAAATCAAATGCCCACACAATAAAAGCCATCCAAACCGAAGACAAAAATATCACATCACAACTGGGTATATCTAACAGAGTAGAAGCCACTGCCCACAAAAAATGCATTCATAACACTCAAAGACAATAATTCAAACTTTACGAATCAATGATCCTGCCAATTATCAACCTAATAAAATCCGAAATTGGCAAAGTTACCAAGAAAATACTTGACAGAATCAACCGCAACATAATAAAAACAACCTCATTCAACCAATGGAAAAATTCATCATCTGTGTGATCCTGTGGTTCAAATCCATCAAACACCAAAAAACATCACCTTAATATCCTTCGACATGGTAGACTTCTATCCATCCATTAACCAAGACCTACTAAACAAAGCACTGGATATCGCCTCAACCTACGACAACATCACAAACACCGGAAAAAAACATCATTATACACGCTAACAATTCATTCCTTATACACAACAAACAACCCTGGCAAAAGAAATATAACTCTACATTCGCCGTCACAATGGGCAGCTTCGACGGTGTTGAGACATGCGAGCTCGTAGGAAGCTACCTCCTTTCTCAACTACAACACATCTCAACAGACCTAGGTCTTTATCGAGACGACGGACTCGCCATTTCAGACACCACACCAAGAGAAAAAGAGAATATCAAAAAGGAAATATGCCGCATCCTCAACAACAATGGGCTACGCAAAACTATCGAAGCAAACAAAAAATCATCGACTTCCTTGACATCACCTTAAATCTTAACAATTCTTCCTATCGACCTTAAGCCTGGGCCACACTATCGTCTATATTGACGAAAACGAAAACGAAACGAAAATTCGTGCACGAAATGCATGCCAGACACGACGAAAAATTTCAAGCATGTTTGCAAAGCCAAAACATTATTGGCCAATAAGCAAGCGGCATTTTTGACGGATTAGAAACAATGGCGATCTCTAAAAGAAAAAGATTACTTCCTCTTAAGAACAAGTTACTGCTAAAATGTTTAAAAAGTAATGGAAATGAATGATTTGATATAAAAAGTTTGTCGGCGGACTATCAATAATACTCACTATCCCACGCCAAGTCCGTAATTTTATTAAATTCATGTAAAACATCTTGCCAGTGATTTCTTTTCTTATTCCTCGAGTCCTTATAATCCGGGTGACTTTTATCATACAAAATTGGTTTTTCTCGCATCAGATTTATAAAAACCTCTTGCCACTCCGCCATGTTTGAGAACAAAGTCTGATATTATCAAGATATTTTTAGCCAATAGTATGCGTTTTCGTTGACGAAAAAGGTCAAAAGTTCAACCCTTCTAATATGAACGAAAACGAAATTTTCGTCGAGTTTTCGTTCAAAATTTTCGTTGCGGAAGTTTTCGTTCTAATTTTCGTCGATATGGACGATAGTGTGGCCTAGGCTTTACACAAAACCCAACAAATCTCTTCAATACGTCCACAGCAAAAGCAACCATCCACGAAGAACATACCCGCCGCCATCAACAAACGTCTATCATCCCTATCATCCGACAAAGCATCATTTGACCAAATAACTGCACCATACCAAAAAGCACTCGACGAAAACGGATACCGATACACACTAAAATTCGAATCGGACGCTACTACAAAATGGAAAAACAGACTTCAACAAAATATATTTTGGTACAACCCTCTATTTAGCAAAAACGTCCACACGAACATTGGCCACAAATTCCTTTTATTAATCGACAAACACTTCCGCATAGACTATAAACTCACGAAAATATTCAACCGTAACACCATCAAACTCAGCTACAGCTGCAGGAACAATATCGAACAAATAATGAACAATGATAACAAACACATACTGAGAACATCAGACTTACAGAAAACGAATTTAAAACTAGACATAGAAATCACACTGCCTCTTTCCCCACAAAGAACTACGAAACTCGACCGAACTCAGTAAGAACATTTGGACCCTTAAAGACAGCAATATTGACTAGGACATTTTATGGAACATCATCACACACAACAAACCGTACAACAGCACTAGTAAAAGATGCAACCTTTGCATCAAAGAAAAATCTTCATCCTCTACCAGTCATCCAAATCATCTCTCAATAAACGCAACGAACTTGTTTCCTCTTGTCGCCAAAGATCTAAAACTCTCCTATGTAATTTGTAACTATACACCTTAATTAATATACTAACTTCCGTCATCTTGTATATATTTTTTAAACATTTAAGTAATTTTACATGTTTGTAAATGAAGATCGTCCAGGTTGGTATAGTCCTAAGAAGGACTATTTTTGTTGTTGTTGACTGACGTTTTGACAACCTTAGGGGTGGTCATCTTCAAAGTCAAAAATGACTCTGAAGATGACTACAGCTAAGGTTGTGAAAAAGTCGAAGTGTCAGTCAACAACAACAAAAACAATCCTTCCCAAGACTATACCAACCTGGACGATCTACATTTACAAACCGCTAACGATACTCCCGGGCTCAAACCATTTACTTTAATTAAGTATTTATTCATTAAATTCCCTGAAGTGTGAGAAATCATGAAACAGGCTTGTCGTGATGAATCTGTAGTTTTCGTGATTTTTTTCAACATTACTACATATATATAGATCGTGGATCTCCCACGTATGAACTATCAAAATATCTTTCTAATATTCTGCACCCACTAGTCAAATCATCACATCATACTATCAAAATGCCACAACTTTCCTCACCAATATTAAAAATGTAAAACTAAAACCAGACGAAATCATGATATCTTACCGTGTAGTGTCACTTTTCACATCCATACCACTAAACATAGCCAAACAAGTCACAAACGAACTACTTACTAACAACAACTCATGGAAAATCACAACCGAACTAGACCAAGACGATATCATCGACCTGCTAGAGCTCTGCCTCTCCACTGAATTCTCCTTCCAAAATTCATATTACCGAAAAATTTCAGGAACACCAATGGGTTCTCCTTTATCCACCTTCCTTGCAGAAGCTGTTATGCAACACCTTGAAAAGCAGTCAGTCACCAACAACACACACATCAGACTATTGGAGAAGGTTTATTGACGACATCTTTGCTATCGTCGAAAAAGACAAAACAGAACACATTCTACACACAATAAACAATACCACACAGAACATAACCTTCACCATGGACAAAGAACAGGACAAACAACTTACCTTCCTAGTTATTCTACTTACCAGATCACATGACGGCACATTAAACACACAAGTATTCCGCAAAAATACACACACAGACCAAATACTCAACTTAAATAGCAATCATCCAACACAACACAAAATTAGTTGCATTCGAACTGTCTTTAACAGGATTAAAACACACTGCAATATAGATGAAGCCAAAAAGAATGAACGCAACCACTTATACTCTACATTCATAAACAACAATTACCCACGAAACTTTATCAACAAAGTATTAAACAAAATACACAACAAACCACAAACTGAAAAACCTAACGAAGATACAGACGAACCAGTAAAAATAGTGACATTACCACATATAAACGGAACATCAGAAATGACATGAAGACTACTCCGACCATTCAAAATAAACATCGCACATAAACCAACACACAAACTCAAATCATACTTCACTAAACATAAAGATCGAACAACGACATTTGATACAACCAACGCGGTCTACATGATACCATGTAAAGATTGCCCAAAACAGTACATAGGACAAACATCCAAGAAAATTGAAACAAGACTCACTGAACACAAGAATGCCATCAAACGACGCGACCCAAAATCACTACCAGCAGAACATACCTACGATACGAACAAAACATTTGACTGGACAAAAACACAACTTCTTGGACGCGCACAGACAAAACACGCATGAGAATTCAAAGAGGCATGGTACAGCGAAGACAACAACACAATAAACAGACATATTGACATCCCCATCATCTATTCACCACTAAAGACAAAACCAAAACAACAAACTAATTGTAGTAAAGTGATACAAAAGCACGAGAGCTGTCGCGTAAACTTGTTTATTGAACTGACAACTAACTCCTACAAGCTTCGGGTGTCCCATAAGGGCAACTATCATTACATCCCCCTTCTTTCAATAGGACAAAATTATAAACATAACTTGGCTCTCAATGGAATACCAGGAAGATAAGAGATTTTTTTAACAGTCTATAAAGTGTTAATATTTGTAATCAAGGCATTACATAGTCATTGTATTTAGTAGGTATTGTTCGGGTTCTTGTAGACTTTTTAAGTGGAGGAGTGGGTGAAGATGCTCCAGGTTCGTCAACAGTGGTTTATGCTTTAGCCTGGTTATCATCATCTGTGATCGGTAAGGCTGTTGTGGTGAAATCGGCTGTTGCCTCAGTCTTCAAGAGATGTCGTCTGTTGCGTCGATACTTTAGGCCATTCGGTGTTGCAACTATGTAAGAGCGAGGTGTTGTTGCGGGATATAGTACTTGGGCTGGGACCCAAGTGTTGTTCTGACGTAGCCTTATACCTTCATTCTCCGTGAGTGGCGACAATGGTCTAGAGTTCTGCTCATAATAGTGTTTTTGTGTCTGTTGGCATCGTTTCAATTCTTTTGTAACATCTGTTGCTAGCTTGTGTTGTAGCAATTCTTTTGATAGAGGTAGTTTGGACCTGGTTGCTCTACTCATTAGTAGTTGTGATAGTGTATATGACATACCGGTGACAGGGGTGTTCCTGTACTCGAGGAGACCAATATAGGGGTCTGAGGTTTTTTTGGGTCCTCTTGACAGTCTCAACAGCTTTTTCACTAAGCCCATTGGATTGTGGGTATGTGGGACTAGATGTGGTGACTTTGAATCCCCAGTTTTCTGCAAACCCTCTAAATTCTCTTCTGTTGAATGTTGTCTGATATGAGTTCTTGTGGTATACCATGACGTGCAAAAATTGACTTTGTGTGTGTGATGACAATTTTTGCAGTTTTATTTGGTAACAGATTGACTTCGATGTACTTTGAGAAATGATCTACAATCACGAGGTAGGTTTTACCTTGGTATTCGCATAGATCAAATGCTACTTTCATGGATTAGTTGTAGCATATCTTTCCTCATGGATAGTGGGATGATGAGTCTGTTGTCTTTAAATAGGAGTCCTTCGGCTTCACTCAGTTCATATCTTACATTTCAGTAGGGTGTGATGCATGTTGGCACTGATTATCGGTGTTTTGGCCAACCTTGCTTGATTGTCTCTTTTAGAGTTTGAAGGGTTTCATCTTCTTTGGTAGCAGCTTTGAGTTCAGCTATCTTTACTGATGTCGCCGGGATATTGGTGACTAAACTGTGAACCATGACTTCTATGACATCATTGAGGTCTAGATGTTCACCGTCGGTCTTGAGAAAGGCTCTAGAGAGAGCGTCAGCTATGAGCATGTATTTATGTATTTTCCAGGAACATATTTCACTGTTACTTGATACTTCTGTACTCTTATTAAGAGGCGTTGAATCCGGGGTGGAGCTTGGCATAGTGGCTTAGCCATTATTGCTTCCAGTGGTTTGTGGTCACTTTCTACTATGATCTCTCGTCCATAAACATATTGGTTGAAGCGTTCGCATGCAAATACTATGGCGAGAACTCTTTCTCGATTTGTGCATACTGTGTTTCTGCATTATTAAGAGATCTAGATGCATAGGTGACAGGGTGTTCATTTTAAATCAAACAAGCTCCAAGGCCCCCTTGTGATGCATCGACTTGCAGAGTTATTGGCTGACCGTTGTCAAAGAACTTAAGGACAGGGCTGCTGGCTAGTGCTTCCTTTATCTTGGTAACAGCTTCATCGTGTTCTGCGAGCCAGATCCATGCAATATCTTTCTTAAGCAATGATCTTAATGGGGCTGTAATTTCAGACATATTGGTTATGTATTGTGACAGGAAATTGACCATACCTAGTAAACGTTGTAGATCTTGCTTGTTGTGTGGTTTGGGCATCTCTAGGATTGCATTGATTTTTTCTGGATCTGGGTGGAACCCTTTGGCGTTTTTAATGTTGCCCAGATATTTTACTTCTTTGACGCGTAGTTGAAATTTCTTCTTGTTGAACTTGATGTTTCGATCTCTGACACGATCGAGGACTTTGATGAGGGTTTTGTCATGTTCTTCTTTGTCTTTAGCAGCGATGATGATGTCGTCATAGACTGCAAGTACACCAAAGATATCTGAAAAATTATCATCAACCATTTTCTGCGCTACGTCAGATGCTGAACAGATTCCAAATGGCATCCGGTTAAATTTATATCTCCCAAATAGAGTGTTGAATGTGCAAAGCTAAGAATATTCTTCGTCAAGTTTCTTGTGCCAGTAGCAGCTTGTCATGTCAATTACAGTGAGCAACTCAGTGCCATTGAGTTTATTTGAGATTTCTTCGGCTGACGGTGGGTTGTAGTACTCTCTTTTGATGGTTTGATTTAGATGTTTGGGATCTAGGCACAGTCGTAGCATTCCATTTCTTTTTTCTACTATTACCAGGCTGTTTACCCAGTCTGTAGCTCGGTCAACTTTGCTGATAATTCCTGTCTCCGTAAGATTTTCTAGTGTTGATTTCAAGCGTGGCATTAAACTCAGTGGGACTTTTCTTGGTGGATGAATTGTAGGTTTAGCATCACTTTTAATTTCGATGTGGTATTCACCATTGACGAGGCTAATACCTTTGAAAATATCTTGATACTCTACGAAAATGTTTTGTTCGGTTTGGTGAATTTCACAGATATCATTTATGCTAATGAGGTCGAGGTCACGGCATGTTTGTAGACCAATCAGTGGCTTCGAGTTGTTGATTTCAACGACGTAGAATTCGCTATGAATTTTCTTGTTGTTGTGTTCGATGTTCATGTAGCATTTGCCACGAATTGGTACTTGGGTTCCTCCGTAGGCCTTTATTTTGGTGTTTGTCTGGTGAAGAGTTGGTTTGTCATTTAGTTAAATGAACACGCTGAGTGGTATTATATTACACTGAGCGCCAGTGTCGATTTTGAAGCGGATGACTTTGTTGTTTACTTTAATGCTAGTGAGTATTTCGTTTCCGTTAGGCTTGTTTATTTCACCGAGGAAAATTTCGTCGTAGTTTTAGAGACCGTCTTGAGTTTCTTGAGGGGTTTCTTGAGTGATTTCGTGGAGTTTATTTCTGTAAGAGTTAGCAAAGCACATTTTGGCGTAGTGGTTTTTGCCTTGACACTTTGAGCACTTTGGCCGTAAGCTGGACATTGGTTAATCAGGTGATGTTTACCACAACGTCCACAAGGTTTTCCTTTTTGTTGAGGGCTTTGCTTTTGGTAGCTAGCTCTCGTAGTTTGGATGGCAGCTGCTTCGAGTGGTTGTGTTGCTAGGTTTTTGACTTGTGCGTGGCTAGTCTCGGCTGCTCGGACGGTGTTGATGGCTTTGTCGAGGGTTAGAGTGTTATCTCGTAGGAGGCGTTCTCTTACGGAATTATTGTCGATTTCACATACGATTCGATCCCTTATCAGACTGTTTTGCAGCTCTCCGAACTCGCAGGTTTTTGCTTTATTTCGTAGGTCCACGAGAAAGACGTCAAGCGGTCAGCCATTTTGTGAGCATGTGTTGAACCTTTCGTATGTGACATTTTTCTTAGGGGAGCAGTGTTCTTCGAATTTCTCGATAAGTCGGTTGATTTTACCTTCTTCTTCTTCGGTGAATGTGAATGTATCGTAAATCTCGAGGGTGTCTTCGCCAATCATGTGGAAAAAGATTGCACACTACGTGTCTTAAACTTTTCAAGTGGCACCGCTTGCTTTCGAGTAAAGGTCCCATCTTTGTCGCTATTTCCGCCATCTTTCTATGGCGTTTTCATCTAAGATGAGAGGCTCTAGAGGTTTTAAGTGTCCATGATAAATTATTTTCTGACACCATTTAGTAAAGTGATACAAAAGCACGAGAGCTGTCGCGTAAACTTGTTTATTGAACTGACAACAAACTCCTACAAGCTTCGGGGTGTCCCATAAGGGGCAACTATCATTACACTAATAACACAACGACTAAAATAAACACTCGAATTTCATTAACCCATGCTATACACCCGAAACCATGACAACGCATCTTATACCATCCAATAATATCAACTCAACTACTAACCAACCAATCAGACGCTCCAAACGCCTACAAAATCTTTGTAAATAATATATTCTAACATTCTGACGACGGCTCAAAGCACCGAGTTGAAAGCTTAAAAAAATCACTTAAAATCCGGAGAAACTCTTATCTTTTATGTATACACACAGTATATATATACATAGTATATATACACTATGTAAATACACTTTGTATATTTCGCCAAGTCTAAGAATGAGTGCTCTACGATATTGTAGAGACTTTGATAGAGCTTGAGCACTCTAGGATTGTGTAGAGAGTCTTATATGGAAACGCTCACCTTTCTAGGTTTGAGCACTCCGGTGAGTCTACAATACAATCCATGCAATGTGTAACCGTACGTCCTGTGTCCCAAGTGCAGGAGTCATCTTTTTACTATGGTGATAGCCGGGAGGGCACATTGTAATTTACTTTGTAAAAGTATGTATATACACATTGTATAGACATATATACACATAGTACATATATACAAAGTATATATATACATTGTATATACACTTTGTATATTTCGCCAAGTCTAAGAATGAGTGCTCTACGATCTTGTAGAGACTTTGATAGAGCTTGAGCACTCTAGGATTGTGTAGAGAGTCTTATATGGAGATGCTCACCTTTCTAGGTTTGAGCACTCCGGGGAGTCTACAATACAATCCATGCAATGTGTAACCGTACGTCCTGTGTCCCAAGTGCAGGAGTCATCTTTTTATTATGGTGATAGCCGGGAGGGCACATTGTAATACACTTTGTAAATATATGCATATACACATTGTATAGACATATATACACATAGTATATATATACATAGTGTATATACACATTGTATATACACTTTGTATGTTTCGCCAAGTCTAGGAATGAGTGCTCTACGATCTTGTAGAGACTTTGATAGAGCTTGAGCACTCTAGGATTGTGTAGAGAGTCTTATATGGAGACGCTCACCTTTCTAGGTTTGAGCACTCGGGGGAGTCTACAATACAATCCATGCAATGTGTAACCGTACGTCCTGTGTCCCAAGTGCAGGAGTCATCTTTTACTATGGTGATACGGGAGGGCACATTGTAATTTACATTGTATACACATTGTATAGACATATATACACATACACATATATACAAAGTATATATATACATTGTATATACACTTTGTATATTTCGCCAAGTCTAAGAATGAGTGCTCTACGATCTTGTAGAGATTTTGATAGAGCTTGAGCACTCTAGGATTGTGTAGAGAGTCTTATATGGAGATGCTCACCTTTCTAGGTTTGAGCACTCCGGGGAGTCTACAATACAATCCATGCAATGTGTAACCGTACGTCCTGTGTCCCAAGTGCAGGAGTCATCTTTTTAATATGGTGATAGCCGGGAGGGCACATTGTAATTTACTTTGTAAAAGTATGTATATACACATTGTATAGACATATATACACATAGTACATATATACAAAGTATATATATACATTGTATATACACTTTGTATATTTTGCCAAGTCTAAGAATGAGTGCTCTACGATCTTGTAGAGACTTTGATAGGGCTTGAGCACTCTAGGATTGTGTAGAGAGTCTTATATGGAGACGATCACCTTTCTAGGTAGCACTCTGGGGAGTACAATACAATCCATACAATGTGCAACCCTACGTCCTGTGTCCCAAGTGCAGGAGTAATCTTTTTATTATGGTGATAACCGGGAGGGCACATTGTAATACACTTTGTAAATATATGCATATACACATTGTATAGACATTTATACACATTGTATATACACTTTGTATATTTCGCCAAGTCTAGGAAAGAGTGCTCTACGATCTTGTAGAGACTTTGATAGAGCTTGAGCACTCTAGGATTGTGTAGAGCGTCTTATATGGAGACGCTCACCTTTCTAGGTTTTGGGGAGTCTACAATACAATCCATGCAATGTGTAACGTCCTGTGTCCCAAGTGCAGGAGTCATCTTTTTATTATTGTGATAACCGGGAGGGCACATTGTAATACACTTTGTAAATATATTCATATACACATTGTATAGACATATATACACACAGTATATATATACATAGTATATATACACATTGTATATACACTTTGTATATTTCACCAAGTCTAGGAAGAGTGCTCTACGATCTTGTAGAGACTTTGATAGAGCTTGAGCACTCTAGTAGAGAGTCTTATATGGAGACGATCACCTTTCTAGGTTTGAGCACTCTGGGAGTCTACAATACAATCCATGTGCAACTGTACGTCCTTTGTCCCAAGTGCAGGAGTCATCTTTTTTTTATAGTGATAACCGGAAGGGCACATTGTAATACACTTTGTAAATATATGCATATACACATTGTATAGACATATATACACAAAGTATATATATACATAGTATATATACACATTGTATATACACTTTGTATGTTTCGCCAAGTCTAGGAATGAGTGCTCTACGATCTTTTCAAGACTTTGATAGAGCTTGAGCACTCTAGGATTGTGTAGAGAGTCTTATATGGAGACGCTCACCTTTCTAGGTTTGAGCACTCCGGGGAGTCTACAATACAATCCATGCAATGTGTAACCGTACGTCCTGTGTCCCAAGTGCAGGAGTTATCTTTTTACTATGGTGATAGCCGGGAGCACATTTAATTTACTTTGTAAAAGTATGATACACATTGTATAGACATATATACACATAGTACATATATACAAAGTATATATATACATTGTATATACACTTTGTATATTGCCAAGTCTAAGAATGAGTGCTCTACGATCTTGTAGAGACTTTGATAGAGCTTGAGCACTCTAGGATTGTGTAGAGAGTCTTATATGGAGATGCTCACCTTTCTAGGTTTGAGCACTCGGGGAGTCTACAATACAATCCATGCAATGTGTAACGTCCTGTGTCCCAAGTGCAGGAGTCATCTTTTATTATGGTGATAGCCGGGAGGCACATTGTAATACACTTTGTAAATATATGCATGTACACATTGTATACACAATAGTATATATATACATAGTGTATACACATTGTATATACACTTTGTATGTTTCGCCAAGTCTAGGAATGAGTGCTCTACGATCTTGTAGAGACTTTGATAGAGCTTGAGCACTCTAGGATTGTGTAGAGAGTCTTATATGGAGACGCTCACCTTTCTAGGTTTGAGCACTCCGGGGAGTCTACATACAATCCATGCAATGTGTAACCGTACGTCCTGTGTCCCAAGTGCAGGAGTCATCTTTTTACTATGGTGATAGCCGGGAGGGCACATTGTAATTTACTTTGTAAAAGTATGCATATACACATTGTATAGACATATATACACATAGTACATATATACAAAGTATATATATACATTGTATATACACTTTGTATATTTCGCCAAGTCTAAGAATGAGTGCTCTACGATCTTGTAGAGATTTTGATAGAGCTTGAGCACTCTAGGATTGTGTAGAGAGTCTTATATGGAGATGCTCACCTTTCTAGGTTTGAGCACTCCGGGGAGTCTACAATACAATCCATGCAATGTGTAACGTACGTCCTGTGTCCCAGGAGTCATCTTTTTAATATGGTGATAGCCGGGAGGGCACATTGTAATTTACTTTGTAAAAGTATGTATATACACATTGTATAGACATATATACACATAGTACATATATACAAAGTATATATATACATTGTATATACACTTTGTATATTTTGCCAAGTCTAAGAATGAGTGCTCTACGATCTTGTAGAGACTTTGATAGGGCTTGAGCACTCTAGGATTGTGTAGAGAGTCTTATATGGAGACGATCACCTTTCTAGGTATGAGCACTCTGGGGAGTCTACAATACAATCCATACAATGTGCAACCGTACGTCCTGTGTCCCAAGTGCAGGAGTAATCTTTTTATTATGGTGATAACCGGGAGGGCACATTGTAATACACTTTGTAAATATATGCATATACACATTGTATAGACATTTATACACATTGTATATACACTTTGTATATTTCGCCAAGTCTAGGAAAGAGTGCTCTACGATCTTGTAGAGACTTTGATAGAGCTTGAGCACTCTAGGATTGTGTAGAGCGTCTTATATGGAGACGCTCACCTTTCTAGGTTTGAGCACTCCGGGGAGTCTACAATACAATCCATGCAATGTGTAACCGTACGTCCTGTGTCCCAAGTGCAGGAGTCATCTTTTTATTATTGTGATAACCGGGAGGGCACATTGTAATACACTTTGTAAATATATTCATATACACATTGTATAGACATATATACACACAGTATATATATACATAGTATATATACACATTGTATATACACTTTGTATATTTCACCAAGTCTAGGAAGAGTGCTCTACGATCTTGTAGAGACTTTGATAGAGCTTGAGCACTCTAGGATTGTGTAGAGAGTCTTATATGGAGACGATCACCTTTCTAGGTTTGAGCACTCTGGGGAGTCTACAATACAATCCATACAATGTGCAACTGTACGTCCTTTGTCCCAAGTGCAGGAGTCATCTTTTTTTTATAGTGATAACCGGAAGGGCACATTGTAATACACTTTGTAAATATATGCATATACACATTGTATAGACATATATACACAAAGTATATATATACATAGTATATATACACATTGTATATACACTTTGTATGTTTCGCCAAGTCTAGGAATGAGTGCTCTACGATCTTTTCAAGACTTTGATAGAGCTTGAGCACTCTAGGATTGTGTAGAGAGTCTTATATGGAGACGCTCACCTTTCTAGGTTTGAGCACTCCGGGGAGTCTACAATACAATCCATGCAATGTGTAACCGTACGTCCTGTGTCCCAAGTGCAGGAGTCATCTTTTTACTATGGTGATAGCCGGGAGTGCACATTGTAATTTACTTTGTAAAAGTATGTATATACACATTGTATAGACATATATACACATAGTACATATATACAAAGTATATATATACATTGTATATACACTTTGTATATTTCGCCAAGTCTAAGAATGAGTGCTCTACGATCTTGTAGAGACTTTGATAGAGCTTGAGCACTCTATTGTGTAGAGAGTCTTATATGGAGATGCTCACCTTTCTAGGTTTGAGCACTCGGGGGAGTCTACAATACAATCCATGCAATGTGTAACCGTACGTCCTGTGTCCCAAGTGCAGGAGTCATCTTTTTATTATGGTGATAGCCGGGAGGGCACATTGTAATACACTTTGTAAATATATGCATGTACACATTGTAGACATATATACATATATATATACACATTGTATATACACTTTGTATGTTTCGCCAAGTCTAGGAATGAGTGCTCTACGATCTTGTAGAGACTTTGATAGAGCTTGAGCACTCTAGGATTGTGTAGAGAGTGTTATATGGAGACGCTCACCTTTTTAGGTTTGAGCACTCCGGGGAGTCTACAATACAATCCATGCAATGTGTAACCGTACGTCCTGTGTCCCAAGTGCAGGAGTCATCTTTTTACTATGGTGATAGCCGGGAGTGCACATTGTAATTTACTTTGTAAAAGTATGTATATACACATTGTATAGACATATATACACATAGTACATATATACAAAGTATATATATACATTGTATACACTTTGTATATTTCTGCCAAGTCTAAGAATGAGTGCTCTACGATCTTGTAGAGACTTTGATAGAGCTTGAGCACTCTAGGATTGTGTAGAGAGTCTTATATGGAGATGCTCACCTTTCTAGGTTTGAGCACTCGGGGAGTCTACAACATCCATGCAAAGTGTCCCAAGTGCAGGAGTCATCTTTTATTATGGTGATAACCGGGAGGGCACATTGTAATTTACTTTGTAAAAGTATGTATATACACATTGTATAGACATATATACATAGTACATATATACAAAGTATATATATACATTGTATATACACTTTGTATATTTCGCCAAGTCTAAGAATGAGTGCTCTACGATCTTGTAGAGACTTTGATAGAGCTTGAGCACTCTAGGATCTTATATGGAGACGCTCACCTTCCTAGGTTTGAGCACTCTGGGAGTCTACAATACAATCCATGCAATGTGTAACCGTACGTCCTGTGTCCCAAGTGCAGGAGTCGTCTTTTTATTATGGTGATAGCCGGGAGGGCACATTGTAATACACTTTGTAAATATATGCATATACACATTGTATAGACATTTATACACATTGTATATACACTTTGTATATTTCGCCAAGTCTAGGAATGAGTGCTCTACGATCTTGTAAAGACTTTGATAGAGCTTGAGCACTCTAGGATTGTGTAGAGAGTCTTATATGGAGACGCTCACCTTCCTAGGTTTGAGCACTCTGGGGAGTCTACAATACAATCCATGCAATGTGTAACCGTACGTCCTGTGTCCCAAGTTCAGGAGTCATCTTTTTATTATGGTGATAGCCGGGAGGGCACATTGTAATTTACTTTGTAAATTATGTATATACACATTGTATATTCACTTTGTATATTTCGCCAAGTCTAGGAATGATTGCTCTACGATCTTGTAGAGACTTTGATAGAGCTTGAGCACTCTAGGATTGTGTAGAGAGTCTTATATGGAGACGCTCACCTTTCTAGATATGAGCACTCTGGGGAGTCTACAATACAATCCATGCAATGTGTAACCGTACGTCCTGTGTCCCAAGTGCAGGAGTCATCTTTTTATTATGGTGATAACCGGGAGGGCACATTGTAATTTACTTTGTAAAAGTATGTATATACACATTGTATAGACATATATACACATGGTACATATATACAAAGTATATATATACATTGTATATACACTTTGTATATTTCGCCAAGTCTAAGAATGAGTGCTCTACGATCTTGTAGAGACTTTGATAGAGCTTGAGCACTCTAGGATTGTGTAGAGCGTCTTATATGGAGACGCTCACCTTCCTAGGTTTGAGCACTCCGGGGAGTCTACAATACAATCCATGCAATGTGTAACCGTACGTCCTGTGTCCCAAGTGCAGGAGTCGTCTTTTTATTATGGTGATAGCCGGGAGGGCACATTGTAATACACTTTGTAAATATATGCATATACACATTGTATAGACATTTATACACATTGTATATACACTTTGTATATTTCGCCAAGTCTAGGATAGAGTGCTCTACGATCTTGTAAAGACTTTGATAGAGCTTGAGCACTCTAGGATTGTGTAGAGAGTCTTATATGGAGACGCTCACCTTCCTAGGTTTGAACACTCTGGGGAGTCTACAATACAATCCATGCAATGTGTAACCGTACGTCCTGTGTCCCAAGTGCAGGAGTCATCTTTTTATTATGGTGATAGCCGGGAGGGCACATTGTAATTTACTTTGTAAATTATGTATATACACATTGTATATTCACTTTGTATATTTCGCCAAGTCTAGGAATGATTGCTCTACGATCTTGTAGAGACTTTGATAGAGCTTGAGCACTCTAGGATTGTGTAGAGAGTCTTATATGGAGACGCTCACCTTTCTAGATATGAGCACTCTGGGGAGTCTACAATACAATCCATATAATGTGTAACCGTACGTCCTGTGTCCCAAGTGCAGGAGTCACTATTTCATTATGGTGATAGCCGGGAGGGCTTATTGTAATTTACTTTGTAAAAGTATGTATATACACATTGTATAGACATATATACACATAGTATAAAATGAACTAAAATAAAATGGACAAGTGTTTGCTGTCGCTACTAGGAGTTTCACGCCGTAGGGCGATCTTTAGGCAACTGACAGATTATATGTTATTTGCTGACTATATACATCGACTAAAAGGTGTTAAGTTAAATGACAGCATCCACTAAACATATCGGAACGTTTATTTAAAATGTTCTTTTTACGTCCTTTCAGGATAAGTAGCCTTTCTTCAAGGCAAAGACGGCAGGTTTTTTGGTTTTTGTTCGGAGGTGGAAGTTGTTTGATGAAGTCCCTCTTAATGTTGTAGTTACGTTTGTTTTCTTTCAGTGTCACGTGTATTTAGAAAGTTTTGTCTCGTTGCGGTATTTAATGTTCGTAATTGATTTAAATAAACGTTCCGATATGTTTAGTGGATGCCGTCATGTAACTTAACACCTTTTAGTCGATGTATATAGTCAGCAAATAATATATAATCTGTCAGTTGCCTGAAGATCGCCCTACGGCGTGAAACTCCGAGTAGCGACAGCAAACACTTGTCCATTTTGTTTTAGTTCATTTTATCTTACGCTCTTCTAATATATAGAATATTGAGCGCTCTTTTATCCAGGAATACTATCCATAATAATACACATAGTATATATATACATAGTCATATATCATAATATATCATTATCATAATATGCCTGGGTTACCAATTTTCAAATATATATATACATAGTATATAAAAGATAAAAGTTTCTCCGGATTTTAAATGATTTTTATTGAGCTTTTCACTCGTTGCTTCGAGCCTTCATCAGAATATTTATTTACACCTGCTTTTAGCTTGGAGACGTTTAGAGCGTCTAATTGGATTAGTGGGTGGATAAATGTCTAAACGTCTCCAAGCTAAAAGCAGGTGTAAATAAATATCCTCATTCTGATGAAGGCTCGAAGCAACGAGTGAAAAGCTCAATAAAAATCTATGCTCAATAAAAACTATGCTCTAAGCTCAATAAAAACTATGCATTTTTTCACGTTTGAATTATAAATGATATAACTGTTTGGAACATAGACTAACTCTTAATTAATTGGCGAACGTCAATATTGGTGAAACAACACGCGATTTAATTGGCATAAAATTATTTTTGGAGGTCTGTTAATTTTTTATAATGAACGGGTTTATTAAACGTAATTTCACAAAAACATAAATAAATTTCATGATGAAAAATAAAATTAAGATATGAGTTAAAAAACGACAAATACCATTCCTATGACAAGGCAAAGAATCAACTATATAATGAAGGAATAAAACCAAAGGGAAATTAAAACAGCAAAATCGTATTATTATACTCTTGAAACTCTATTTAGTTTTACTGTTGATATTTGTTTGTCTATCTGTTGTCAATGATAGTTATAAGACAGTAAACTATAATGCCAAAGAAATATGAAACTTTTGTAATCATTGTCAACAATAAGACTAGACTTGAACAACAAGTAGATTTTGAGAAATGGAAATTATACAAAAAATGAGATGACTGGCTACTTACAAACTTAAATGGTCATATTTTGCATTGAATTATCTAAAAGTCTTTCGCGCAATGGGTCTGGGTTCCTTTTTGAGGGAGAGTTTTGTGTGAGCTTTGTGCAATTTTTCTATAGCTTCTTAAGATCTTCCTACAGTCTATTATTCACGCCGCTCAGTTGTATTGTGCAATGTGCTTTCTTTGCAATCAAAAATAATTTATCATCATCATAATTATCATTATTAGTATTATTATTATTAAAAATATGTTATACGTAGCAATTAACTATAACGATACATAGTTATACGAAAAGTTCTCACAAAATTTACACTTAAACAAACGATTTTTAAGAAAAAGATCATTGTGATTATATGATACTCAAAAATTTGACATCTCACCAATAAATAAACCGTAAAACTGTGACAACTTACTACATGCATTACAAAATTGATTGCAAATCACTACAAAAAAGAAAAATCCAGTTAATTGGTGGAGATATTGTTTTTGTGCGCTTCATTATAGTTTTTTGCACAAAAACACTCGTTGCACATAAACCATTCTTTTTTAATGAGTGGTATCTTATCATTTTTATAGGTCAATACGAGGATTTGTAAGCTCTGAAGATTTTCCAAATTTTCGACTTCGTCTTCGTTGATAGTAGCGTCGTAAATATTCACTTCTTCACCATTTTCGTCCTTAATCAAGACAACACAATGACTCTTCTCGGCAGTGATATAAATCATAAGTCCTGCTTTATGCTGCGACATTTTAAATTCATTAATAGCCGTATTTAGAAAATACTGCTTTCTGCCAACACCGACCTCTTTTTTGAAGATTGATGTTAAGAAGCCTTTTCTTTGTAGGGCAATAATTATGTTTGTACATGGCATTATCGTTGTTTTCTTTAGTTTTGCTAGCACTTTCTTCATTGGCTTTTCCCAATCCACATTTACTTTCTTCCTTAGTTTTTTCCAATCCACATTTACTTCATTCATTAGTTTTTTCTAATCCACATTTTCTTCCTTCATTTGTTTTTTTAAATCCTCATTTTGTTCTTGCTCATATTTCAGCAACTCCAAAATTTTCATCACAAACTTGGTCCCCAACGAAATCTGACCCAATTTTTGAATCAGCTGTACAGGACAGAAATAAATTTACAAGGTAGTTAACAACAGTAGTAGGTTAGCCAACGTACATGGTGCAAATTTACAGAAAAACGCTTTTCCATCGTTTTTTTTGATTTCTCTTGAAATTGAGTCTGCTTTCTATAGAAATCAGTTGGGTACAATTGAATACATGAATAAGCACGTCCCTACTAGCTACGTCCTAGCTACCTGGCACGTTCCAGCTACGCCCCTGTAGTTTTTACTCAAATTGAGCTTTTTTTGCCTCCTTGTTCACTTAAATGGTAAATTATCTCCTGAATTTATAGCATGCAGATTTTAATTGGCAAAGTATAAAATACAACAGAGGATAAATGACATATGAAAGATTCACAATTTTTTAACTTAAAACGTTGTTTCTTAAACGTATTTCCTCTCTTATGATGTTTCTTATAGAGTATAGGATATTATCATGTGATTCATGACTTATACTAAGAAAAGTATTCTGAAATTATATTGTCTATAAAATAATCACAACAAATATACTCATACATTGTACAGTGATGTACACGAAATATTCCATCAAAATGGTTGCGGAAGATTTGAAATTTTAGATAGTATAGAAAAAGTCAGTTATTGTTTCGTCATTGAGCAAAAATGTGTCATCGTTTTGAATAGCTTGGTGTTAAGAGCTTTTTCAGTCAGCAAAATTCTTAATTAGAATGCAAAATGTCCCGACGAAATTGTATAAAAAATGTTTACCCTTTTGATGAATTTTAAAGAATGTGCGAAAGGTTGTAAATCTTGATTGCTCTTTAAATGATTTAAGCCGTTACTATCGACATTATAACTCGAGTGTACACCGTTTATTTCAGGCTCCTCGGATGAAGATTCAGTAATCTCATTTGTTGGAACAGCAGGACCTACCTCCATCTCATAGTATGTGTCATATGATCCATCGTCCTACAGGTTAACAAAAATTCAATAACTAATATTGACAAGAATTAAATTTTCAAAAATTTTCCATGAAAGTATATATTGTAAAAACTGAAAAACACTACAATACTTTGTCCATCTCCAATGACGTAGATTTGCTCTCGCATGATTCATTAACGATTTTAAATTTATCATTGTCTTCATCAATTATTTTAATTAGTTGAGCGAAGTCACGTTCCTGAGACTAAAGAAACAAAACATTATAGGTTCCAAGGACACAGCTGCTATACATTTTTGTGACTTTCTTCTAACTGAATTTGGGTTGACGTGTTTTTTAGTATTTACTTTACGCATTGTAACAACACACAAAAAATCTGAAAATAAGTTAGTAAAAAAATTGCACCTAATTCCGACTCACATAAAAATACCCTTTGCAATAGGTTCTAGTAGTTTGACATGGATTTTGTTTGGTCTAAGACATAAAAATGGTTATTTGAGAATCTTAAGCAACTAAGATTAAGTTCAGATAGTGTTAGTACAATTCTTTCTTTCTATAATACAAGTAAGAACAGGAAACATAAAAAACACTGCTGAGGAGCAATATTCATATATGCATGTTATAGTTCACAGGAAACAATCAATTTCAAAGTAGCTCGATACGCCAGAACAGGAATATATGGATATATGCCCCTTTTTGTAACAAAAGCTTTTCTACAGTTGTGTTAGTTGGTCTACAATTTTAGAACTAAAAGGAAATTATGGAAAATTTACAGTTTACTATACCAGAGAGATTGTATCGTTAGAGACATCCTTGTAAAATTCTGTCTATAAAATAATAATTTCATAATTAACATAATTATGTAAATTAGTTCCGTTTGTGTCTTGTTAAGGTTGTAATATTAAAAACAGCAGCTTTTTTTGTATTTATCATTTATTTAAGAAATTAAAAGATAATTTGAAGATACCTTACCGAATAGGCTTTTTTTATGAGACATCTTTGCACTCTTTCGACGACACTGTATAATTACATTGTATAATTTATAATTTAGTTGCTATAACTTAAAAATTCTTGCACAATTGTATTCTGCTCCAATAATGTGTAAAATACCTTATCATCAATTGCTTCATCATTTTCGTGCCCAGGCTCTCCACTTATGCTATCTTGCACACCTGAAAGCAACAAGTAACAAATGAACACCATTGATAAAGTATACACTTGTATCCATACATTTAAACTTTAATTGGATGTTTAAAAGCTATAAAACTAGGGCCTCAGTGGTGAAATATAGTTCAAATATCCCGTACACGAAATACTCCTCTAAGCATTTGCCATGAGTCTCAATATGAACAAAGCATTAACATTGAAATTGTGCAAATTTAAAATTTTTTTCCAGTATAAAAGAAAAGCTGATGGTAATCGACATGCTGAGATATTGTAATATTGAATTAAAAGCTTTCAGTGAATACTGTTTTATACACTGTACACAATGGACAAAGAGGCTTCATGCCAATTAAAAAAATGTAAAAGGGCAAATCGAGGGAATATTTCTTTGGCGGCTTGATAAAATTGTCATTGCTATACCCTTAGGTAAACACAAAATTCTAGGATCTTACCATCTCATACGCATAATTAAAAAAATCATGATAAAAAAGGTAAAAAATTACAAAAATTTTCTTCTTGTGATTATGCATTACTTTCTTTATATTGAATTATAGTATAATATATCACCATGTTATAAAAATAGTTTTGTTTTATATAATTTCGTAAATCTAGATACACCTCATGCACGGTACACCTCATGCAGTTCTATTTTCCTCCCATCATCCACACTCTAAACACATTCCAATTAAGATTTGGATCTTCAAAAATTCCCCTAGACTATCACCGAATATTGTATTGTTAATGGCCTGCTTTCACAAATCAACTGACCTCGTTATCCTTGTATGACGAAGTATTATTTATAACTGACTTGTCAGTATGTTCCTTGGCTTTTGTGAACTGTTGAAAAATTGCCTCTGGCTAAAAAATTTATGAAGTCATGTAAAATAAGAACGCCAACCACACGTCTGTGCCAACAAAATATAGAAGATATAGCTAATAAATGGAAAGACTGAATTAGTCTGGAGAATCAGTAGTGAACCAATTCAAGGTAGCATTGATGTAAATACTCAAGCAATTGTTTCATACAAAGTAAAAAATCACGTAGGTGGTCATCTATGACAACATCCAGTAATGACCAGTGTCATCCAGTGATGATGAATGACATGTAATAATGTTGAAGCAAGTGCGTAAGTTAAGTGATGATTTTTTTCGTACAAATATTGACACAATGTGTGCAATCACAATCAATCCGGTGAAATGAAAGTGAAATCGTAAATAAGTTGATTATAAAGTTTTTACTAAAGCCTTTATCTGGTCAGAAAAAATCCAAGATAATTTCAAAAATTTTGAATTTACCTCAAAAAATGTCCAAAAGTTTAAAAATTTGATCAGAAATAAAAACAAAGTATATAGTCTAATTTTACTCACAATATGCGCAGTGTTTCAATGATATTCAAAAAATAATTCAGAATAATAAAATTCAAGAATTTCACTGTTTTGTGAATTATAAATTTAAATCTAGAACTTAAAATAGCATGCCAAATCTCATGTTATAAAAATGTTTTCCTTGAAGTTTTTTACAGAATCGAAGAAAGAATGCGAGTCTTGATGATTTGTCAACTAATTCGAATGGTTGCTATTGACATTATGACCTGAGACCAAACCATTAATTACAGGTTTCTCAGTTGAGCATTTAGCAGTATCATGAGTTGAAACAGATGAATGAGCATCCACATAGCATGTGTCAGCTTTAGCCCATCAGGCTACAAGTAAACAATCAATCTTGTGGAAAATATAAACTCAATATATAACTTACTGAAAGTTCTCCTTAAATATATATACATTGTAAAGAAGACTGAAAAACAGTACAGTACCACGTCTGTCTCCAATGGCGTTGATTTGCTGTCTGATAATTTATTAAGGGTGCATGGCACTTGATCATTGTTTTCACCAATTAATATGCCTTGAGAACTAAAGCCATTGTCCTGGGAGTAAATATACAAAACATTATAACTGACAAATTTACAGGCCTCTATATAAGAGAGGTTGTTTTCTTAGAGACATCTTCCCACACTTCTGTCTTTAAAATAGTAACTTCATAATTTACATAATTTATAACTTACTAACATTAATCTATAAAATACTTCTTTCATTTTTCTTTCAATAGACTAGGATTTTTTAGGAGTTTTGAAATATTTTGGGACGTAGAATTTTAATTAAATTACAGTTGTTGACACATAACAGCACGGCTCATGAAATGTTAAGCTTTCACTAATCAACGAACCTCATCAACTACGTGTTGCACACTGTCCTTTACAATGGGCTCATTTTCCTCAGCTATCCTGGACTGATGTCTGCTTTCCTAGGAATTTTGATGAATGTGATGTGAAATTAGAGCACCATCCACAATTATTTTCAAAAATAAATAGGCATACTTTTGGATCTGCATGTTGTTCTCCTATTTCTTGCACTGCTTGTGCTTTCAACGTTTCTTTCCCATGTTGTGACTATATGCAATAAATAAATATTGAATGAAATAGTTTCATACGCAGCTGCTATGTGAAAGGAAAGTTTTAAGTTTGGCCATCCACATTAAAATTTGTGAAAATAGCAAATAACTGCACAAGAATAAAATTTGCCAATGAACAACAATTTTGTGAGCTAGCGGATATGGAACCTAGAAAAATCACCTCCTTTTCGGGTTTAAGGAAGAGCTTTTGTAAAAGTATTTTCGACCAATAAATGATTTCGCCACATAGTTATGAAGTTAAACTACACTGTTACGGCCCCGTAGTTTTTACTTAAGTCGAGTTTTTTGTCTTCTTGCTCACTTAAATGGTAAATTATCTCATGAATTTACAGCATGCAGCTTTTAATTGGCAAAGTATACGATACGACAGAGGCAAATGACATATGACGGATGTACATGTTTTTAACCTAAAACGTTGTTTCTTACTCGGAGCAAAGCTTCTTGCAAAAAATGTTAACAAGAATTAAATCTTCAGAAGTTTTTTCCGTAATAAATTAGGAAATTCTTGAATCATGCTGAGATAACATGTGAAAGTGGAGTACATGGGCAATGCAATGAAGGAGTTTACTTTCTTGCTCATTCAAATCATTGCTAGGAAATATTTTTCTTATGAGATGAATAAGAATTCTACTTTTATGTTATAAAACTGTCCTGATTATAACAATCTCGATAATTGATCGGTAAATTTTCCCCTGTGCAGCCCCTTCCCCTGTCAGAATATTTGTACTGCAACAGCTGACATATTTCTATTTGCTTAAAACGTCTTAACCTATGTTATATTTGGAACATTGATATATTTCCTTAGCTATCACCATCTGTGATCTAACTGCTTTTAGCAATCAACTTTCCTCATTAAGACTTTCTCTTTCGACCTCATTTGAGTTCGGTAGATAGCTAAATTCCTGAGCTATCAACAATTCTTGTATTTCTGACTAAAAGGTATGATCAAAGAACATCAAAAGCAATATGAATACTCTCCATACTATCATCTGAGAAAAGCGTAAAACATACCTTTTTATCACTACTTAGTTTACTGTGATCGTGCTTTGCTGGTTCTTTTATCCCTTCTTTCGCAAAATCAACCTGTAATTGACGAATAATTGTTAACAATTTTCTTTACCAAAGTAACAAGAAAATTTCTCATGGCACGTCGTAAAGTATGTCTTTATTAGCAGATGCATGGTCTTCAGTTCGAGCTATCGCTTTTTCAGAGGTTTTATTCAAGATATAGTACGCCTAAATGATTGTTATGGTATGAATACACACAGGATGAGTAGTTTCTGCCCAATTTCACAGGTTGGCAGTGACAAAGTATAGGCAAAAAACAGTGTTTCATTATCGGCTGTTAATTGTCTTTATATTAAACTCGTAGTAATACATCATTTTCCTTATATTTAATAAGAGTTGTATTATCAATGGAATAGATGTAATAGAAAACTTTTTTATACTAAAGTATGATGTATACAAGCCCCACACCCCTTATTCATCTTTAAACTGTTTTTGGACACTTCAATCTCCAACTTTTTTGCATGAAAGAATTCTATCGTGGAGCATACAATCTGATAACATTGCTCATTATTTATTGTCTTTTCTTTTTCTACGTAGCGATTGAAAACGTTATAAATAGCTTCCAAAAAAACGCAGATGTCCATCTCAGATTCACCCTGAATTAAATGAGACAATATTATCATTTCTGTTCCGTTAAGTATTATAACACGTTTCATCGTATGTGCGTTCACAAGTTTTATTTGCTCCGAACTATGTTTTATAGCTTGGTCTCTAACTATGTGTAGAAAGATTTGTGTAAATCTATATCCGCAGTTACAATTCAAACCTTTTTTTTTCATCTTGTTGTAGTAGTAAAATACATTATTCCTTTATATTTCAGTCGGCAAAAAGCTGCTAAAACCCTCACAACAGCCACAGTTTCACACAAAGAACCACTTAGGTAATGCGGAAGAAAGCAAACGGGGGGATCATATTCATATTCATATTTTACTTTGTTTAAATCAATCACAACAGATTTCAATAGTAGCTAATATCATAACATGCGTGTATGAATATTAGCCCACTAATTGATCTTCAGTAGTCATTGCTAGCTCACAAAAATAGTCATGAAATACCACGCTTGATGTATATCTATCTTTCCCAACAGTAAATCAAGCTTTTGCTTGTATTTAATACATCATGTGTACCTCACAACTGTTTTCATTCGATACATCTTCCTCCAATGAAGGTTTTTGCAAATGTTCATTGGTCACTGGTGCCTTTGCCATGCTGACCTGACATAAAAAGTCAATTTCACATCAATGATTAATCTCTCATGATACATCCAACATAGGGTTCATTTCGTTCAGTAGCAATCTTTTCTAGTAATGACTTTGATCACATGCAAAAAAATAGAAAATTTTACCACGGTATACTTTATGTTGGCAATATCGAGGGCCTAGTCTCCCCTCCCAATGAACAGAGGTAATGCTAGCAAAATTACAAAAAAAATCTGTGTGGAAACTATGAAGGCCAGAAAGGTGGAAGGCAATGCGTATTGACTATCTAAATATGTTACTACCAAACCCAACTGTTAACTTAATCTTTTATTTTTTTCCGGAAAATAATGTTTATTTTGGCCACTTAATTTGCTTCTAAATGTGCTTCGTAGTGTCAATGAAATTATTGTCACTAGTTAAAATATTGAAATTGGCTATGAACCAGGAATGGCTACAAAGTCTTAAATTTATGCCAGTCGAATCGAAAATAATGGAACTTGTATGAAAACTATACATTACCTTGTCAAATGTCACTTAATGGTTGTCCTTCGAAAGGTAGCTTATAACAGGAAATGGTGTCGCGAATAATGTATCTGTTGATTGATGTTGTGATAATGTAGAAGTATTCACCTGAAAAAATGTAATTTGATATAGCCGGTGATATTGAAAGCATTCGCTTGTAACAAATCTCTTCTGGTTGAGAACGTTGACTTGTCATTTATTTGGTTTGCATACACAACCAAAACATTGTAAATTATCTGTAGGTGACGTAATTTTTAATATGAAAATTGTAAACGCAAAAAGTATTATGGAGTAATCTATGAGATTTGCAAGCATTTCAGACGGAATGAATTCTTGAATTCTTTAAAGTAATAACAGGAAAAACACTGATGTGAATAACATGACAACACTGACAATTGAGAAATGTAGTGAATCAAAAGAAATCTGTCGTGAAATTAAGAGAAAGACGGGTATGACTCGAATGATGCGTTTCATGAAGTCCTTCCGTGGTGACATAAAATTGATAAATCACGTTTGGAGCCAATGCATGAAATCTAAAATGAAAACATTCATACATATGCAAAAATCGATTGTAAAAGCGTAAAGACAAAGAAGCTCTTTGTTTGAAAAAGTACTCTAAGCCTCGAACATGCCAAACTTACAAGCACTTTGCATTCCTAAATTGCTGGGAACGCTGTTATTCTGAGCTTGGCTAAAAAATAGTTTGACTTCTACGATTCTGTTGACGTTTTAACAGCTACTGTGCCTTTTTGGAACATATCTAGACTATTTGGTAGACGAACTCATTTTAAATTCAATTGACCAGAGAGTAAAAACTTTGAAGCTCACGCAATCTGCATAAAACACAATACAATGCATTAAGTCCAATATCCTACACTAAACAAGACACTTTCAGCTACTACAGCACTGTTTCCTTGAACTCCTGATCTTTTCAAGATGTGCGTAAGTGTTTGAATTGATTTCCAAACTGAAGTCAAGCCTCAGTTTATAAGAACATCGGTTCACATGATTGTACATTCATATGTAGATGGAGTTGAGTCTTGCAAAATGATTTTTCCTGCCATCTTCATAATGTACTTCTCCATGCTTGCCAGTCTTTTGTACGCATACAAGCAACTTGACCTGCTCAGGATCTTGAGACCCTTCAGTCGTTCATCATTGTCCAGGGAATTCTGCATTGCCATTGTCGTTTGGAGTTCTTGTATTCTAAAAAAATGGCAGTAAGCTGCAAAAGATGATGCAGACGAGATTATTCCTGCTTTCACTACTGTAAAAGACAAGCTTGTCCACACAATTAATGAGGACTGTGTTAATAGAGAAAACATTACTTACATACATGCATATCCTTGTTAGTCACACAATGCAATTACTTGCATATTGTTGAACTAAATACAATAAGGTTATAATAAATAATAGGAACAACACAAAATTGAACTTGTTTGGTGCTCGTACAGCTGAAGGAACATAAAAATTGAAAGAATCCAAGCCTTGTACAACAGAGGAAACCCATTCACCCGCAAAAAATAATATTTCATTTGAAAGCATTCAAGCCGTACAGTACATTGGAATATACGAGATTTATGACGATAAAATTTGACGTAAGAAAGAGTACGAACGAAAGATGCGTCATTACGTAGTTGCACTTCAAGTGCTGAAAGGAAAATTTGATGAAAATAAAGCTTTTCATTTATTTCTATCCTTAACTCCTTCGCTAGCTGTCTGTAGAGTTTCGTCATGAAAGCCTAATTGATATAGTTAAGTACTTCCATTCTCCTAAGTACATCATAAGCTTACTCGATAGAAATTAAATAACACTTTTGGGGTTTACTTTTGATGTAAAGGAAGTTCCAACAGTCAACAATGCATCATTACAATAAAACTTTTTCTTGTCTCACATTTTTGTTGAAAGTATTCTGTGTATCTGTGAAGATAGTATTTCTGAGTAATGATTGCAAATGTGATCGCCTACATGGACTGAGCTAATTGGATGATAAGAGTGTTGCTTTCGTTCACTCGAGATCTATGATACCGTGGATAGCTTTAAACGATTTCGTTTATCTACAAAGATCTACGAAGGAAAAATGGAATTGTTACTTGTTTCAAGCGGCTATATAGTTATTTTGAAAACCAACTGTTTTTCTTCTAAAGAACTGGTACTTTAATCTACATTTATCTATGCAGGTTGTGAACAGGATTTGCAGAATATTAGCAAGGATTCAACTGTTTTAAAACTTCTCTATCTTTATCCTATATTCAATTTCGTGCTGTGAAGAGAAATAACTAGCCGAATACCAGCTTTCATTTTACCAAATCATTAATTATTTCACGTCCTGAAATTGAAAACCTTCTTGGGCGCATCCAGAATTGCTTAAAAGATATCTAAAGCATATAAAAGTAATGATGTAAACAATTTCCGTATCTGTTCAAAATAGATAGTGAAATACAAATGAATTATAAAACCATGTGTGCGGAAAGCAATAGCTAACAAATCATCGGGCCTTCCCTAGAACGCTAATTGGGGGATGTGTGTTTTATTCATATATTCATCATCATCATCATCATCAGCCGTTCACGCCACTGCTGGCAGATGGCCTCTACAACTTCTTCCACTCGATTCGGTCTTTAGCTCTCCTCATCCAGGTCTTTCCAGTTTCCTCTTCGATCTCGTCTCTCCATCTTCTCTTTGGCTTTCCTCTTCCTCTGGTGCAGTTTCTTGGGTACCATTCATATATTAAGATATGCCTACTGATTTCTTTTGAAAGCAATTCACCTAAGGAATTAAGCAATTCACATTCAAAATTAAATATATGAATATACACCCCCACCCCTATTAACGTTCTCGGGAGTGCCCTAAAAATTGTAGTACTTGTTGTGTTAAGATAAATTATTCTTTATATAATGAAGTCTACCAAGCTCTTGAAAATTGTTACTGTTTAACAATTTACGTATTTATTTCATTTGAAAATTAGTTGGAAATCGGAAAATTTTCAAATATTTAAAAATCAATAAAAGCAATAGTGGTTCCACGTGGTGTAATTGAGAATATGTTTCACAAACTATTTATGTGACGTCTTTCACCATAATACAGTGAAAAGACGTTTTACACGTAACGTACTTTACAGTTTAAGCCGACAATAATCACAAAAGAAAACCACATCACAAAAAATCCACAGTCAATTTCCATTACAAGGATAATCACCTAATTTTGTTACGTCAAACTTCGAATGTTAAGTTTCCTTGAAACCTTCGAATTTGAAATTTTTTAAATTTTATTAAAACATGAACTTTTTAGTAACCGGTTAACTTACAAAAGTTCTGACATGTAAATTATAAATAACTAATTTATACACATTTATTTACAACAAATAAACAATTAAGAACTAATATCTACTTACGGTTACTTCATATAATACTTTGTGGTAAAAGAAATTTTAAAACGTTCGGTCATGCAACAAAATGTTAGTAAGATCCACAGCTTCTTAGGACGTAATTAGGAAGTGGTGTTTAGGATTCATATCATTGTTCATAAAAATTTTTAGACAGATTGTCCCGTCGATTTTTAAGGTTAAAATATTCACGTAGTCCAAAGCTTTTCATATTTAATGACGGTATAATTCTTCTCAACGCACGTTTTTATAGCTACTACTTCAGTTTCTTCCCATAAAAAATCAGGGCTGTTAAAGTGCCATACTTTGAAGGCATATTCATGTACAGATCTTATGACAGTGGTATATACTATTAGTAAGTTGTTTATATTAGCATTTGATCGTTTTAGTATTTTTAACATATACAATCTTTTCATAGCTTTATTAGCAACATAGTCAACGTGTTTGTTCCATTTCATATTATGTTGAATAATAAGTCAAAAACAAGAGACGATTTTACCCTTTCGATCTCAAATCCTCCAACATGTAAAGGTGGAAACGTTCTTTTATGTTTAGAAACATCTACGATTAGTTCTTTCCATTTAGATACGCTAAGTTTCATTTTTTTTTTGAGTTCCATGTGGGATGCTTTCGGTAGCAGTACAGTCATCGGCTAATTTCCATTGACCCGGCCACCATTCTGAAAAATCTTTAATCATTACTTGGAAAAGTATCGGACACAAATTTGTTCCTTCGGGTACACCACTGTTGATGGCTCGCCATTTAGAGACGCAATCGTTTAGTTTCATGTGTTGTTTTCTTTCAGTTAAGAAGTTTTGTACCCAGTTCTTTATTTCTTCAGAGACTTTCATGTTTTATAAAACTTCTTTAGTAAATTCTTTAGTAAAATTCTGTGGTCGATAAGATCGAAAGAGTTTGAAAAATCTAGCATCGAAACTTGCACTGAGTTACCGGTTCTGTCAGTTTCACAAAGCAGGTGGTGAAAGAAACTGATGAGATCGTGAGAAGGAGAAGAATTAGGAATTGATCTAAATTATTTTAGATCAATAACTTCCCATATGGAATTAAAAAACCCAATACATGAATTCTTAATATTTTCACTCCTCTTTCTTTACTGACAACATGGCGGCCAATTGCGCGAGGACAAGTTTTTGCGAGAGTGAGCCATTGAGTTCTATAATAACTGGAAGGGCTAAGTGGACTAGGGCGATGTTGTCAAAAACATGGATGCCAATTGACCTATTTCCGCTGAAATGTTCGCTTTGCAAAAAAAATTACTCTCGACCTCCCCCTGTCATTTATAGTAAATTATATAGGATTTATTAAAAACAAGCACAATATCTTTTTTGGTATGTCTATTATAATGCTAACACTTTTATCGTTCAATTGTTGAATATCGTAATGAGCACAAAAAGGAACATCTCACTTTAACAGGTAAGATATATGCTTGAATTGTTTGTTCATCAAAGATTGAAAAGCAATTAATACTCTTAAAAAGCCACAAAATCTAGAAAACCGTATTAAAAACACTGACTTGCGTACCAAATATACTGATATTTTCCTGTTTTTGGTTATGAAATTCAATAATTTTACCCATCTATTGGCAAAATAGTTTTGTTGATGCCAAAATAGAGCCTGTACAGTTTCTCAGTGGATAGATGACATGAAGAAACTGCTACCTCAAACTGTAACCATAAAATGGATCAGAATTTGTTCTGATCTATTTGCTGACAACATGAAGAGATAATGAGGTAGCAAAGTGTTTCAGGAGTACGATGCAGTATTAACACCATTTCAACATTATTTTAGGAGTTTTTGACCATGGTCTAATTTTATGGATGGAGACAATGTATTAAGGATTCCTTGAATGCTTTGAAAGGAAAGTAAAGGTAGCAAAGAAAGATGGCGAGGCAAGGTGGCTGTAAGCGCTTGGATACTTGATGCAATGTTAATTCACAGTACTGTAAAATGGCCATTAAGTTTGTGTTTATGTGGATATTGATATTGATACTGAGATTGATGATTGATGACTCACTTTTTATAAGTAAATGGTCAAATCATGTTATACCTTTACTAAAATATTTCTGTAGAGTGTTGTTTAAATGTTAATAATATCTAATGAATGCTATATTGAAGCATTAAAGAAAACTTTACAGTTGTAGTACTATATATTTCTTCCTAACTTTAGTTTTTGCCTTAAATGACATTTTGAGCTATTTACTTAATATAGCAAAGAATGGAAATGTGGCATTTGCTTTATTTCCTGCTTTTTTCAAAACTGGAAAACTTTTCGACTTTTCCAAGTGTTTCTTCAATATTTTGCATCGTCAGTTTGTTCATGATATGGATGAGAAACAGGTAGTACAAATCTGTAACTATGTAATTTCTAAAAAAGTCTTTAAGGTTACTTTAAATGATAGATCTAAATTTTTAAATGTTAAAGGTTACTAGGTAATTTGTATACAATATTTATTTTTATTTATCAATGACCTATACCCATCATCACTTATGCAAACTTGAGTCTTTTAGAAATTTGAATGAAAATTAATCACAAAAAATCAAAAATATTGAGTCAAGAGGTAACTTTCCAGCCATTTATTCATTTATACAGAGTGGCGTGCGTATACAAGAGCAAATCTTACAATTGTGACGAAAACCAAAAGGCCATTACATGAAAGAAGGCAAAAAAGTAATGAGAATGAATGACTCAAAATGAGCTAGCACTTCTAACGGCAACCGTACAGATAATCCAAGATGTACTTTTTCTTTGTATAAACCATAAAGTTTAATCTGGCAAACAACTTTGAATGTTGACGTCACTGCGTCGTGCATCCGCGTTGTTATGTAGCCAGCAAAAGCCTCTTCGTTGGTAGTTATAAAACGGATCTTCGTAGGAGCAGACAACTAGCACACACAGTTGACTCTCTGTAATGAATTTCAGTTTTTTACCTTGATTTTAGATCATAAATTTGCTTGTCAAATGCCAAATAAGAAAAATTCTTTTTTCTCACTCTTTCTTTGGGGGGGGGGAGTGAGAAATTGCAAAATTTTCTGCAAAGTAGTCAATTTAGTAAATGCCAGCGGAAATAGGTAAATTCCTCCATTTTTTTTAAACATTTGACAACTAAAGCCGCGCTTGAGATAGCAGCTCCAGTTATTATAGAACTCAATAGAATGAGCATACAGTATAATACCTAAATAGTGATTTAGTCTACTGATTCAGTAAAAGACAATTTTAGGACATGGAAATATTTGTTAAAAAAATTGATTTCAAAAGAAAGCAAATATCTTTACTATTTACATAAATCGATGAATATAAAACTTTAACAAATTACTTGGCTGCCTCTAATTTTACCAAATTAGTTAACAGCATGGGGGGCGAATCATTAAGTTCTATTAAATTACTTGGACGGGAAAAGGGCCTGAAACATGTTGTCAAGAACATGGATGCCAAAATGATTTTACAGAAAGCGAAACCAATGAAAATAATGATGAAAACAATCACGATTGCAAAGAACACAACCACTGACATCACGAGCTACCGCAGGCTAGTGTCCAGGACCCGGCATATCAGAATGCAATTTTCGTCAAAACGGTATTTTTCACAACCGATATTTTCACTTCTATTATACTTATTAGGAAAAACAAACGCTCATCACACTCAGTGCATTCTGAAATTTTAACTCATACCAAAATTTATAAAGGGGAAGCTTTATTTCATAAACACGTTGTAGAAATTTCACCAATTGTCGCAATTCGTTTTATTATAGATAGTGAAGTTTGCATAAATCTACTGATTTCTATCAGTAGTTCATTCGTAGTTTATATCCTGGGATAAATGCTTTTGGTAGTTGGTAGCTCATGTCTATCATCAGTGCTCCCTTGTAAGCAAATATAGGTTAGAAGTAGCCAAATTTTAGCAAAAGACCAAATTCGTTTCTTGAGTTTCTTCGTTATGTAAAGCATTCAGTGAACTTTAATATACACTGGAACAACATGTCAGAGGGGGAAATTGATGCCAGATGATGGCAGCCATCCAGGTCGCTCTAGTCCTTTGGTAAACTAAACAGAATTTTTATTTTTATAAATTTTCAAAAGTGAACTTATCCTTGACATAGCTAATCGTTCAAACGACCCAAATATTTTAGTTCCATGATAAATACACAAACTCAAAAGGTTTTTTAAAAATTGAGCAATTTGCAAGAGAAATTGGTGTTTTTTAGAAACCTTTTTTGTGACATGAAACACATACAATACAAATATATATACAGCTCAGATCCTTAATAATAATGCAAGATCCTCGTAAATAGAGTATTAAAAGAGTCTTAAAATCTTCATCTTATGCATTTACTTTTTTTTTATGTAAATGTATATTTTAAATACAAAACAATTAGTTCTTGTACTGTCAGTGTAAAGTACAAAAAGCGAGAAAATAAAATAAACACATTGTTAAAAGAAAACAATAAATATTGTTAAAAGAAAATTTTGTTTTAACAATTAATATTGTTAAAAGAAAACAATAAATAAACAAGGAAAACAGTGGGTCATCAAATAAGATATATCAATGGAACATTTTTAAACGTAAAAGGTCGTAAATTATAAACTATCAGTTTTATAAAATGCTTTAAATATTAATATGTGTTTTTCTCTACTTTTTGGCATTCAGTCCATCATCATTCATTGTATTAGTTAGTCGATCAATCCCCTATATTATTGCCGTTTATTTTCTCCTTACAAATATCCTGCTGTAGCATACACTAAGTATGAGCGATACAATTTCAAAGCACAAAATCTGTCAAAAAAAACAATGAATACTTTTTCACGTTTGTCAACTGCCAAGAAGCCAAAACAAACGTCAGTCGCAAAGAAAAAAATTAAAAAATGAATTATTTCAGAGGACAGTTGATTAATATTTAGCTGAATTTTTGGCTTCAACCAACCACAAGACAAAACTATACAAGTTATGGTTCCAGTTAATTTTATACATTTCACTCGTGATTATACGAATTTACCACGGTTACATTTAATACAATGATGTCTTTAGTAGTGTTATTACGAGCATTGAGAAATCCTTTCTATTGCTTCTTATTGTGTTCTGACATATTAACTTATCATAAAGATACACCATAAACGTAGCTATGTGATAACAAAGGCGCATGGTCTACACCCACTTGGTTTTCACTAAATTTACATTTTAACAGTCGTTTTTTTTAAATAAAATCATTATGTTACTCAAAAATTTTGCATTTTACCAATTAATATAATGTTTAAAGTGGCCGATTACTGAATATACACTAAAAAATTAATTAAAAATGTTGATAAAACCCTCTGCATAAAATTCAAATTTACTATGAATTCTCATGACTGAAACATCAATTGAGATACTGACTCTTTAGGCTTTTTACCAACATTATTTGCGTGAGCTTCAAGATAGTCTTTTAGACAGTAGCACATTTTCAATTTGGACCATTGTTTAGCAATAAGAGGTTTCTTATCAATGAGAGGTTTCTTATCAATGAGAGGTTTCTCATCCTCCAAGACAAGAACTTGTAAGCTGTGAATAATTCCAAAATCCACCATTTTGTCTTCATCAATTGTGGAGTCATACAAATTCACTTGTTCACCTTCCTCGTCCCTTTTTAAAATTAGACCATGACTCATTTTGTCAGTAACACAAAGCAAAATTCCTGCCTTACGCTTACTCTCTTTGAACTTCTTTTTTGCATTATCAATGAGTTTGTCATCGCCAAAGTCACTATTGTATATTGACTCTAAGAATTGTTCTTCTTGTAGGGCAATAAGCACCTGTGTACATGGCAGCACAGGTGTTTTCTGAAGCTTCTCTAATATTTCACTCATCAGCTCTAGCAATTTCTTTTGGTATCTCCTCAAGTGGTAAAATTTCCTCCAAGATTTCCCATAGATCCTCCAAGAATTTTGTCCCTAACGAAATCTGACCCAATTTTTGATCCACCTGTCCAGGACATAAACCCGTTTCTTCGATATATAGTAAATGTTTCATGCAATTCCTAGCACATGGTGCGTATTTACAACATAAAGCTTTGTTCGTATCAAGTTTGAATACCTAAAACAAATTTTCGTCACAGAGTGAAACACATAGCTATGTAACAAGTCCATTTTTGGGGCAAATATTTGGAAGTTGTGTTTATCCTTCTAAACGTACGGCTCTTAAGTTTTGCTCTATTCGAGTAACCTAGATGCCTCCTTGATCACTTAAGTGGTAAATTATCGTTACGTTTTTGTCACATTTTTTTGGAAAATAACTTTACTAAAATTGAAACTTACTATTTTGGCTGGGCTAAAACGCTATCTTACAGCTGACAAATGATGTGATAAACTAGTCATCGACCTAGCTAAAACATTGTTTCTTAATTGAATTGTCCATTCTATAATATTTCTTATGGAGTAATACGGAATGATCTTATTACTAAAAAAGTATTCGTGAAAAATTAAGATTTAGTATAAAATAAAACGAAAATGATATGTTATAGTCATCAATAATGACAGCTAGCGATGATGAATGTCAAGTGATAAATGATTTTGATATCATAAAGTTGTTACCAAAACATTTACCTGGTAAGAACCACGCCGATTCTCTTTCGAGTTTTTCCAAAATGATTTTTTTGACATCAAAGATGAAGGAGTAAAGATTGTGCTCTAAAAAAACAAGGTGGACTTAGTAATTCCTCGACAATTGGTTTTTTTCAGGAAAACACGTGGAAAACACTAGCAAACAAACCGATAGCTTACATAGCTTATTAAACTAATGTGGTTGCTCCTCAATCAGTTACTGAAATGTGTTTTCACATTCTCAAGCCTTGCTTTTCAGTGCTAGTTATTTAAAAAGCTTTTGTTCAGTTGGTCCATAGTTTTAGAATTCAAAAGATTCACTGAAGAATTTACAGGTTACTTTACCGAAAGCACTGTATTGTTAGAGATATCTTCGCCCCCTTTCGACACTCTCCACAAATGAAATCATCCTGACATCATAACCAAAATTTGCATGTTCGTAATTTACTATAACCATAATTTATAAAAGGTTTTGGATTCATCATAATAATTCATAAACATACCTTACTGTTTGTACCTGGTTCGTGTGCAAGCCCTTCTCTCTTGATCTTCTGCAAATTTTTCGGCTGCAATTGACAAATAACCAAGCAATAATAAAATGTACACATGTAACGTATCAAATGTACAAGTACGAAAGAGCTGTGTTGTTTAGGGAAAGACTCACTTTAAAAATACACTATCTGCAACAAGAATTTGTAGTTTTGAGGGGAATGGAACCGGAGAATCTATGGTGCACATAATAAAAGTTAATACAAAATTCAACAACAATTAAACTCTAATACTTCAAACCTTCTGCTCATAATTGCCCAAGTACATTTTTCCAGTGAAAATTCTATACATTAAATCACAAGCGAAATAACACTACATGTTGACATTCAACCTTAAAAGCGAGTTTATTTAAATGGTTGATTGAAGGGAAAACTGTTTGAAAATTGTACATACAGATTTCGTAAATACTTGTGCATATTTTTTCTTCAAGCTCATCAGACATTGAAGATCAGCATCATCAATTGCTGTTCTCGATTTTTCTATGACATCTGCAAATTCTCGTAACTAAAAATTTAATTTGAAAGCTAAAAATGAACAAAAAATACCTAGCAAATACTATGGTCCATAATGTTCTTATCATGAAGTGAAAATCATCTGACAACCCATAATGCGCTGTTAGACAATCACAATTTTCAACAAACCTTTCAATTGTTGACAGTTATAGTTTGGCGATCATCTACTGCGTCTTACATAAGAAGCATATGAACTATAACACAAACCAAACTTTCTTGCTACATATTTACATGTGATGTTTGCATGGTTTATTTAATTTTCATTTTTTTGTTCAAATACTACCATAAACTCTTGGCAAATATATAATTGAATCATCGACAGCAAGTTTGAATAATCGTAATCCTGCGTGGGCAGAAAAGAAAAGCTAAGCAAATTACTCCTATAACTTTGGTAGTTCTCATTGCCTGATGGAACTCTTAAAATATTTCCTAAGCCTTATTTTAAAGATGGTTGATCACATCATCACAAAATTTATCTTTCCCGTACCTCGTTAATGAATTCCTCTGTTCTCGCCATATTAGCTACCTGAAAACGAATAAGAAGAATAAAATCTTGTTTAATGTATCCTTCTTTCCAATGCGGTTTTCTGTGGATAAAATGAAAGGTAGTGCAATTTAACAAGATGTACATTATAAGTGCGGCACTTGATTTGACAAATGACGCATAACAAATTCCCTATCTCGCGAAAAAGAACAACACTAAAGGTATTTGTCCTAATGATCTTTCAAATACTCACTTTCTTTCTTTTAAATCGCAGAACAATGTTTACAGTTTTGTTAACTATAATGAAACGAACGCCTTTCAAACGAACTCTGTACAAAGTCTTTTAACGAAAAACTGAATACGTATGCAAAATTTTTCCAAGGTCACATGAAATAGCACTTGATTATAATAACAATTGATTAAAATTTTAGTTGTTTGAGGAATGTAAACATCTTGTTGTTGGGTATAATGCATAACGTAATAAAAACAGACGCAGAAAAATATTTAGATTAGCTACGTTCACTTTCTTCTCCCTTTACTCATTTAATCTGATCTTTGGCAAATTTAATATTGAAAACAGCGTTTGAGTATTCACGAAAAAATTAAATATTGAAAGTTACACAATTGCGTTGTGTTTTATCTGATGAAAACTTAAAACCCACAATGTGAATGCTGATGATACAATTTTGTATTTAATGCAAAATGCAAATTTTGCTAAATGCAAAACCTAATAAGTGGTGGCAAGAGGTCAAACAACCCAGTGGAAACTATGAATTTAACTGAAAAATTGAAGACATGTTATCTACAGAATTAGATAACGATGAAAAATTTTATGCGATAAAATCAACACATCCTTTATAAATGTGATGCAAGAATATTCTCCGCTATCTCCTGATGAATATATGTCTATGGATGAGAACGATCAGTTCATCGAAGTCAACAAAATCGAGGTTGTTAAAAAAGTTAAGAAAAATTTGTCACTCAAAGGCCGGCAGTCCTGATGGTCTCCTTAATTGGGTACTGAAATATCAATGAGTGTTTACTTTATGTTGGCAATATCGAGGGCCCAGCCTCCCCTCCCAATGAGCAGACGTAATGCTCTAAAAAAAAACACAAAATCAGTGTGGAAACTATGAAGGCCAGAAAGGTAGAAGGCAATTTTAATTGACTACCTAAATATGTTACTACCAACCCCAACTGTTGTCGCGAATAATGTATCTGCTGATTGATGTTGTGATAATGTACAGGTACTCACTTGAACTAATGTATTTTGATATGGCTGGTGATATTAAAAGCGTTCGCTTGTAACAAATTTCTTCTTTATTGAGGTCGCTGACGTGTCATTTATTTCGTTTTGTTTTTAACTGCGCAATATGGACTTTGAATTGTTTTTACACAATGATGATGCAATGTCGATTGTGATTGATTAAGAGCAAACAGATAGTTATCAATACGCAACATACACAACCAAAACATTGTAAATTATCTGTAGGTGACGTAATTTTTAGTATGAAAATTGTAAACGCAAAAAGTCTTATGGCGGAATCGTCGAGGTTTGCAAGCATTTCACAAACGGATTTGGCTTGAATTTTTTAAAATAATAACAGGAATAACATTGATGTGAATAACACGTTCAGTCAAAAAACAAGAGAAGATTTTGCATCTTTCGATCTCAAATCTCCAACATGTAAAGGTGGAAACGTTTTATTATGTTTAGAAACATCTACGATTAGTTCTTTGCATTTAGATACGCTAAGTTTCATTTTGTTCTGTGTTCCATGTGGGATGCTTTCGGTAGCAGTACAGTCATCGACTAATTTCCATTGACCCGGCCACCATTCTAAAAGACCTTTAATCATTACTTGGAAAAGTATCGGACACAAAACTGTTCATTCGGTTACACCACTGTTGATGGCTCGCCATTCAGAGACATAATCGTTTAGTTTCATGCTTTGTTTTCTTTCAGTTAAGAAGTTTCGTTCTTTACTTTTTCAGAGACTTTCATGTTTCATAACTTCTTTAGTAAAATGTTGTGCTCGATAAGATCGAGAGATTTAGAAAAATCAAGAATTGAAACTCGCACTGAGTTACCGGTTCTGTCAGTTTTACAAAGCAAGTGGTAAAAGAAACTGATCAGACAGTGAGAAGGAGAAGAATTAGGAATTGATCTAAATTATTTTAGATCAATAACTTCCCATATGGAATTAAAAAACCCAATACATGAATTCTTAATATTTTCACTCCTCTTTCCTTACTGAGAACATTGCGGCCATTATGCGCGAGGATAAGTTTTTGCGAGACTGAGCCATTGAGTTCTATAATAACTGGAAGGGCTAAGTGGACTAGGGCGATGTAGTCAAAAACATGGATGCCACATGACCTATTTCCGCTGAAATGTTCGCTTTGCAGAAAAAATTACTCTCGACCTCCCCCTGTCATTTATAGTAAATTATATAGGATTTATTAAAAACAAACACGTTTTTGTGTTATGTCTACTATAATGCCAACACTTTTATCGTTCAATTGTTGAATACCCTAATGAGCACAAAAAGGAACATCTCACTGTAACAGGTAAGATATTTGCTTGTTTTGTTTGTTCATCAAAGATTGAAAAGCAATTAATACTCTTAAAAAGACACAAAATCTAGAAGACCGTATTAAAAACACTGACTTTCATACCAAATACACTGATATTTTCCTGTTTTTTGTTATGAAATTCAATAATTTTACCCATCTATTAGCAAAATAGTGTCCCTGATGCCAAAATAGAGCCCGCACAGTTTCTCAGTGAATAGATAACATGAAGAAACTGCCACCTCCACCAGTAACCATAAAATGGAGCACAATTTGTTCTGATCCTATTTGCTGACAACACAAAGCGATGATCAGTTTGCAAAGTGTTTTAGGAATATGATGCAGGATTAACACCATTTCATCATTATTTCAGGAATTTTTGACCATGGTCTGATTTTAGGGATGGGGACGATATATTAATGATTCCTTGAATGCTTTGAAAAGAAAGTAAAGGTAGCAAAGAAAGATGGCGAGGCAAGGTGGCTGTAAGCGCTTGGATACTTGATGCAATGTCAATTCACAGTACTGTAAAATGGTCATTAAGTTTGTGTTTATGTGGATATTGATATTGATACTGAGATTGATGATTTATGACTCACTTTTTTATAAGTAAATGGTCAAATCATGTCATATCTTTATTAAAATATTTCTGTAGAGTGTTGTTTGAATGTTACTAATATCTAATGAATGCTATATTGAAGCATTAAAGAAAACTTCAAATTTGTAGTACTATATATTTCTTCCTTACTTCAGTTTTTACCTTAAATGACATTTTGAGCTATTTACCTATTATAGCAAAGAATGGACATGTGGCATTTGCTTTATTTCCTGCTTTTTTAAAAACGGTAAAACTTTTTGACTTTTCCAAGTGCTTCTTCAATTTTTTGCATCGTGAGTTTGTTCACGATATGGATGAGAAACAGGAAGTACAAATCTGTAACTATATAATTTCTAAAAAATCTTTAAGGTTTCTTTAAATTATAGATCTAAATGTTTAACTATTAAAGGTTACTAGGTAATTGGTATACAATATTTATTTTTATTTATCAATGACCTATACCCATCATCTCTTATGCTAACTTGAGTCGTTTAGAAATTTAAATGAAAATTAATCACACAAAATCAAAAATATTGAGTCAAGAGGTAACTTTTCAGCCATTTATTCATTTATACAGAGTGGCATGCATGTACAAGAGCAAATCTTACAATTGTGACGAAAAACCAAAAGGCCATTACATGAAAGAAAGCAAAAAAGTAATGAGAATGAATGACTCAAAATGAGCTAGCACTTCTCACGGCAACCGTACAGATAATCCAAGATGTACTTTTTCTTCGTATAAACCATAAAGTTTAATAAGGCAAACAAGTTTGAATGTTGACGTCGCCGCGTCGTGCATCTGCTTTGATATGTAGCCAGCAAAAAGCTTCTTCGTCGGTAGTTATAAAAACGCATGTTCGTAAGAGCCGACATCTAACAACCACAGTTGACTCGCTGTTATGAATTTCAGTTTTTTACCTTGATTTTAGATCATAAGTTTGCTTGTCAAATGCCAAATAAGAAAATACTTTTTTCTCACTCTTTCTTCAGGGGGGAGTCAGAAATTGCAAAATTTTCTACAAAGCAGTCAATTTCAGTGAATGTCAGCGGAAATAGACAAATTTTACCACCTTTTTGACAACATCTGATATCTAAAGCCGCTCTTGAAATAGCCGCTCCAGTTATTATAGAACTAAATGAAGTGAGCATACTGTATAATACCTATATAGTGGTTCAGTTCACTGATTCAGTAACAGACAATTTTAGGACCTGGAAATATTTGTTGAAACAATTGATTTTAAAATATAGTGTCTCTAATTTTACCAAACTAGTTAACAGCATGGAGGGCGAATTATTAAGTTCTATTAAATTACTTGGACGGGAAAAGGGGCCTCGAACATGTTGTCAAAAACATGGATGCCGAAAGGAAATTTTGGGTGAAAACTTTCCTCTTGAAAAATTATTTTTGTCATTCACTCCCTCGTGATTTCTAAATACTGAAAGTAAAACCAGTGAAAATAATGGTGAAAACAATCACGATTAGAGAGAACACAACCACTGACATCACGAGGTACCGCACGCTAGTGTCCAGGACCGGGCATATCAGAATGCAATTTTCGTCAAAACGGTATTTTTAACCGCCGATATTTTCACTTCTATTATACTTATACGAATACTATAGAAAAGCTAAACGCTCATCACACAAAGTGCATTCTGAACTTTTAACTCATACCAAAATGTACAAAGATGAAGCTTTATTTTATAAACACGTTGTGGAAACTTCTCCAATTGTCGCAATTCGTTTTATTATAGATAAGTTTGCATAAATCCACTGATTTGTACTAGTAGTTCATTCGTAGTTCATATCCTGGGCTAAATGCTCTTGGTAGTTGGTAGCTCATGTCTATCAACAGTTCTCCCTTGTAAGCAAATATTGGTTAAAAGTAGCCAAATTTTAGCAAAAGACCAAATTCGTTTCTTAAGTTTCTTCATTCTGTATGGCATTAAGTGAACTTTAATATACACTAGAACAATATGTCAGAGGGGGGAATTGAAGCAATATGATGGCAGCCATTTAGGTCGCTCTAGTCCTTTGGTAGACTAAATAGAATTTTTATATTTATAAATTTGCAAAAGTGAACTTGTCCTTGACATAGCTAATCGTTCAAACCACCCAAATATTTTAGTTCCATGTTAAATACACAAACTCAAAAGATTTTTTAAAAATTGAGCAATTTGCAAGAGAAAATGGTGTTTTTTAGAAGCATATATATATACAGCTCAGATCATTACTAAGAATGCAAGATCCTCGCAAAAGAGTTTTAAAAGAGTTTAAAATCTTCATCTTATGAATTTACTTTTTTATGTAAATGCATATGAAGATTATATTTTAAATACATAAAAATTTGCTCGTTTACTGTCAGTGTAAAGCATAAAAAGAGAGAAAATAAAATAAACACATTCATAAAACGGGCCGGTAAGCTTAGTATATAATATTGTTAAAAGAAAACAATAAATAAACGAGGAAAATAGTGAGTCATCAAATAAGATATATCAGTGGAACAATTTTAAACGTAAAAAGTCGTAAATTATAAACTATCAGTTTTACAAAATGCTTTAAATATTGATATATTTTTCTCTATTTCTTGTCATTCAGTCCATCGTCATTCATTGTTTTAGTTAGTCGATCAATCCCCTAGATTATTGCCGATTATTTTCTCTTTACAAATATCCTGCTGTAGCATACACTAAGTATGAGCGATACAATTTTAAAGCACAAAATCTGTCAAAAAACAACAGTGAATATTTTTTCACGTTTGTCAACTGCCAAGAAGCCAAAACAAACGTCAGTTGCGAAGAAAACAATTAGAAACTGAATTATTTCAGAGGAGAGTTGATTAAAATTTAGCTGGATGTTTGGCTTGAACCAATCACGGGATAAAAAAAATACAAGTTATGGTTCCAGTAAATTTTATACATTTCACTCGTGATTATACGAATTTACCATGGTTACACTGGGGAGTGTAGGTCATGCAATGTTTATAGCTTTCACCAATCAATAATCTCATCAACTACATGCTGCACATTGTCCTTTACAATAGACTAACTTTTCTCAGCTATCGTGTACTGATGTCTACTTTCTTGGGGATTTTGATAAATGTCATGTAAAATTAGAACAGCATACACAATTATATGCAAAAATAAATTGACATACTGTTGGATCTTGTAGTTCTCCAATTTCTTTTAGTGCTTGCTGTTGTAATGTTTCTTGCCCCTCCGGCCGCTATATACAATAAACAAATATTGAATGAAACATTTTCCTATCCCATCTTTTATGTGAAAGGAAATTTATAAGTTTGGTCGTCCAAATTAAAACTCATGAAAATAAAAAATAACTGCACAAGGATAAAATTTGGCACTGAACAGGAACTTTGTGAACTATGGGATATTGGACCGAGAAAAATCACCTTTTTGACTTGAACACGTTTTTCGGGCACATTTTGATCTTTTTCCATACATTTCTTTAGTTCTTGTTCCAATCTCTGTATTACATTGTTATTTCACGGACTTGCAACTCGAATCTTCGTCTTTCATCGTTTATTTTGCTAATTTTCAACTCAAATCTCCGTCTTTCATCATTTTTTTCGATAATTTGCAACTCCAATCTCCGTATTTCATCTTCTTGTTTATTGTTAGAAACAATGCAGGAACTATTTTTTGTAAAAGCTTCATTGTCACTTGATATCTTACTTGTATCACAATGGATTAAATTTTCCTAAGAAAGAGCAACTATTAATGTTTTCACTGGTCAATTATTTTGTTCAATAAATAGTACTGAGACACAAGTCTATTGTGTTCGTAGTGACATTGTTTTTTTACACTCAGGATTGAATCTGTGAGTTGCCATTTTAAGTAATGTTTCTATATGGAGCAACTGTCCGGGTGCGACTTCAATTATTTAAAAAAATAAAACGTTTCGAGCATTGAATATTTGTTAGCTGTTATTCGGGACACTATAAAAACAAATTATTTGTCCATGTATGGCAGGATTTTCTCTAAAAGATCTCAAATCAAGCAAGTGAAAATTCCCTCTTCGAACAATTGTGAGATGATTTTGAAGCCCCACTTAGGGCCTGTTTATATGAGCCAGGCTGGCCCACTTTACCGGGTTAGCCTGGCAGTTGCAAAATCTCGCCTCTTTTAGTATTTACATTTAATTTCAAATTTGATTCATATGAGAGGCAGGCTGCCTCGTAATGCCGCTTGAGCGAGGCTGGATCTAATAATAAACGGGCTCATGTGAATGCACTAGACGAGCTATCCCAGCATGCTGTGCCAAACATTGCACTAGAGCGCATGCTCATAAAATTCAATGTGGTAGAAAATACGGGGCACGTAAAGGACAACTTTCGGTGAGTTGTGCATAAGTTGTCCATAGAATAATGCATAACATTACAGAGTTTCTTTCAGCTTATGAAAGTAATATGAATATCGGGATTTGGACTTTTATCCTGCTTTCGTAATTAATTATTTCTGTACTTGCCGGGCCAGCCTGCCTCATGTGAATGAAATAATAAACTGGCCCGGCAAAGCCAGCCAGCCCGGCTCATATGAACAAGCCCTTAGTGAGTGTGAGTCTTAACATTTAACTAATTTTGACAATCACAAATGAATATATCAATAGCCCATTGACGTCCAGCAATTGACCAAAATTTCGTTTTGTAAACCATGTTCGACTATGATATTATATTCCTAATTTTCTGTTTTGGAAAGCAAGAAAAACCACTGGCGATCAACTGCAAGGGTTAACTTAACAATATATTTTATACGTATAGCCAACATACTGAAATAATCCCTCTTCCGTAAGTCTCTTGAATCTGGTCTCCTATACTCTCTTCTTTTGTTAGTGTCTGTAAATTAAAACAATAGCTTTTCTTCAGTTGGTCCTCAATGTTAGAATTTTAAGAACACACTGGAGAATTTACAGGTTATTATCGTTATACAGGACATATTCTTCTTCGGGCTAACGAATGAAAGCCCGAGTTTGAAATTTGGATTATCCTATGTTGGCACGAGAATACATAAATCAGTTATGACTGATCCGAAGTCGTTGAACTAATTTAATTCCTTCTTGCATCGTTTCACACGCGAGTGTCATTTAAGGCACGAATTATTATAAAACATGATTTACTTGCATGTTAACAATATGTTGCCACATTTGAAATCATTATAATACACAAATATAACCAAACACTGTTCTCGAGTTGCCCGAGTGAATGCCTGATAGGTGTCTTGTTTTGTGAGAAATATAACACACGACTGACAGGTCATTCAGTGAAACTTATTTGTGTTTATATTTACTAACCATTATTTACATAATGCACATGGGTTCTAAAACATAATAATGTATGAGCACACTTTATTGCATGTTCTAGGTTTATTTAGTCTGTACGCGATCTTTCGATACAATAAAAAAATAACTAAGAAATGATAAAATATGTATGTGTATTTTAATGATATTCATTAGGGAGAGAAAGGAATCTCTTTAAAAATACACTGACTGAAATTTAATACTGACGAATTTGAGCCACTTTCTTGATTACAAAAGAAACTTAAACTTTGAAATGGTATAAAACGTACGCATTTATGCTTAAAAAAGGAAAAGGATCAAGCTCATACGGGTAATAATACATTGTTTTTAAACATAATATGCCATGGCGGAGTAAAATACAGTTTGTTCTCTATATTACTCTCAAGAAGAGTACTAACACCCTTTAACAGCCTAAAATTGTAAGAAAAACGGAAAATTGATTTGGAGTTGCATAACCTATAACTAAACTATATGCTTTTCTTAAAATGTATGATGTTTGTTGTCGTGGTGCATCTTCTTGCAAAAATAGTCGTACTATGCTACTGCTGATTTATTTTATCTTCCCCAACAATTCATCAAGCTTCTGTTTATTCTCAACTTTTCATGTATACCTCAAAAATGTCCAAGTCTGTATCTTGCGCCTCGGCCATGATCTGACATAGAAAATGAATTTCACATTAATCGTTCAGGACATTGCCAACATGGTGCTCATTTCATTGAGAAGCAGCCTTTCAAGTGGAATTTTTGACAACATGTAAACAATTTAAGATCTTACCACTTTTATTTTTATACTTCGTAGATCTTCCTAACTATATTGAATGAATTTCAAGCCCAACTGCAAAAAAGAGTAAAAAATTAAGAAAATCAAAAAATTTTGTCGCAAAAAATTCTAAATATCCGTATTTCAAGTTCAAACATCCGAATAAATTATAAAGATCTATGATATGAAACACGTAGAGAATGTACTCTATTGCATGGAGTATAGGCAGAACATCACAGTGAACAAACGTACCATTACGTAATTATGTCTGGATTATTATGCCGGGTTTTATTTAATTTGAAAAAGTATTCTTATATGATTTTTTTTTAATAGAAGAATTTTCAAGATTTTTGGTACAAGGAACAACGTTTTTGGCGAGCAGCCTCCTAACCCCTCGTCAAATTGTTGAGATGTCAATTTTTCGGGCATGTCAATTTGTCCATTTAATCTCGTGCAGTTAATTTTATGAAAATTTTGAATCCAAACCAGCGTAATTTATACTATAAAAGAGTGAAATGAAATGCACGTAAATCTAATCTAAAGAAACTTATGCTCTAAAATGGTTGAATTGTAAATCTAATCTACGGAAGGCCTGCAAATAACAGTATCCAAATTTTTCGATACTTGGTGTAAAAATCGACATTTTGTAAATATCGACAAGTATCAATACTTGGTATCAGGTATCTTACAAACGAAGGTGCGAGAAAAATTCCTTAGATGCTTGTTTTTTTGGTAATATTTTGTTGATTTGGTGATTTGGGAAGCTTGGCATAGTAATTTTCTAGTGATAGTAGTACATAGTAAGTGATTGCAATCTAATATTTAACGGTTTGATATTATAATATATTGCAGAAACTGATATTTAAAAGCACCAAGTCAGTGTTTACTAGATCTTACACAGCATGTACTTGTTGGTATAAAAAAGATCTAGGGACTTGCCACAGGGACAGCGGAAGCAAGAGACAAAGCAGACAGGACTAGCTTAACTTGAATTTGCAATCTCAAAAAACTGCAATTATGATCTTCACATGGTATGTTGCCTCCAATCATTTCTTCTGCTGAGTTAACCATGCGAATGACCGTTAAAATATGTTCTGACCTAATGACGTTCAAAAGAAAGCTTGCATAGTACAAAATATGTAAATAAAATTTAACTGATAAGTTCCTATTCACATAAAATTTGCAACAATCCTCTCCATTCCGCAAATAGGAAATGCTGCCTATAAAACTGCGCCTGTTAAAAAAAGCCAATCTTTTGCTTCAAGTGTTACGTTGCTGTATTCATTTGGTAAAGACTTTAAACCAGACTACACATTTCGTGTTCCACTGAAAATATGACTCCCAAATCTCGATCAATGCCAACCTAATACTCTCGTCCTCTAGCTCTTCCGATGGAGCTTTACCAACATTGGAGAACAACGACCCTTCTTCTCCTATGTTGGTATATAATTCGTCAAAACTTACTAGCCGAAGGTTTGTCTCAGAATTTAGATTTCTGGGTGGATGTCATTAATACGAGTTAATTCCTGTACCGCAAACCCCCCTGCCAATTCCCAACTCATGAACACAAATTTATTTACGGTGTGATGATTATAATAACGGTGTGATGATTATAATAAATGATAATTATTTGCTTATCTTCGCGGGGGGTATAAAACTAAACAATAATGGCAGGCACAGTGACACACTCTTAATGTAAAATGTGCAGTACAGAAATAGCCTTTTTGTTTTTTAAACATCCAGTCAATTATTTGATGTTGTCACGATATTTAAAATATCTACGTACGACAGTGTTTATGTATGTCGAGGATAGAAACCGTCTCAACGACATAATCGACATTAAAGAATCAAGTGCACGCTTGAATTGAATTGAAACCGAATAAAGCGTCTGTTGATTAACAGCTGGGCAGCAGTCATGATTATAATAAAAAAAGTTTCACTTGGCAGAGATTTTGAAAATTTTTGTATCTACCAGCAAGCAAAGTTCAGAAAGTTGATAATTTTTACCATAAATCATAAATCTCTGTTTTAGTGTTTTGTTTGCAAATGTGTGTGCAGGACTGCAAGTGTGTTTATCGTATGCTCATCAATGCTTAAGAAAAACAAAATTTTCCACATACCACAGCGCATGTAATAAAAAAAGACAATAAATGTAGTTTGGATGTGATAAGACAATGAAAAAATTCAAAGAAGAATATATCTATTATATATATATTGTCATTGCTGCTGGCTCATAAGTCATTCATTATTAGATAACTAGCTCACCCGGATTAAGAATTTTTAGTTTCTGGGGGTGCAACAAAACATTGTCGATATTCATTTAAGTTTAGTTTCACAGCTTTTACACGGATACATAGGTACATAATCCATTTATTTCTCGATTTTCTCATATTTTTATTCATGTTATAGGTAATACTATTTAATGTACACTGTGATTAGTTTCAAACAATGGGGGCTCTGGGATAGAGGTGGACAATTAGAATGAACTCGGATGGCGGGAAACTTAAGCTGAACGAAATTGTTGGAAAAGCCTTTTTAAGGAGTTTCCATGCTGGTTGTAGATGTTAAAATAAGTTAAGAAAAGTGATTCTTATCTTATGATGAGGATTCAAACATTGCATAAAATTACATTGCAAAGTGTAATTACTTCAGAATTCTTTTGCAGTCAAAGAATTTAAGGCTAAAATGTAAAAATCACTAGGGCCACAACATTACCAAATGTAAAAATGTATTTGTGGTTTAAGCATTTTTAATTTCAATTTTAAAATAACATGATGTAGTCATTGTTTTGAAGCTTTATTGATGCTCATTTGATTTTTCCAATTGATTATATGGACAAAGATATTTTGTGGTACTGGTGTCATAAAGTTGAAAGGCAAAGTTGTATGATTAAATTGCTCCATGGGAAATTTAGGGATCAGATATTTTCCATTACATGTGATTTGTCCAAATACTATTCATGGTATACACAATTTACTGGCATTAAAAGTTTTGCCTGAAATATTTCATGCTTAGATTTCAGTGAATTACTTTAATTAATTTTCAATTTCAGTAAATGAACAATTTTGAAGTTGTAAACAAGGCGAATTTGGATTGTAGATGGCATGTAGAAATAAGAACTTTCAGAGTGAGTTGTTTCTCATGGTCTTTAACCCAAAATCGTTAGAGAATGATTTCCGCTTCTTCAAAAGACGAAAATACTTTCTAGTTCATCTAGCTTTGTGAAGTTGTTTGCTTATTAATGAATAAAGTCTTTAACACGCGATCGACAGAACTAGAAATTTATGCGACATTACAACGAGCTGGAGATACAAATTGCAAAAGCGCAGCACTAATTCACGGTTCACCTGGGATAAAACGACGAAAGAAAATGTAATGGATTATCAAATACTTACTTCTTTCCTTTAAGTTTCTTTAAGGACAATACTTAAGGGATTTGTTTGACAGTGATCAAAGAAAACAAACCGTTACTTTCAATAAAATGATTCTACGAACCATCTCGATGTTAGCATCTGTTGCACCAAGCTTATAATATGTATGCGAAAATTTTGATTAGAGCACAACATGGCCTCCAACTTTACAAAAGCTGCATTAAATTAAAGAAATAAATTATAATAATAATTGTTGACATAATTTCGTAAAAGCACTATTGCTAGTGCGCTTTTAATATACACGACGAGTTTTTTTAAACCTTGTATCATTTATTATTTCATTCATACTGAAGATGGCATCATGAGATGTCGAAACATGTCTATTCTATTAACATGTATATTAAATGCGCATTAATAATTGTTGAAAAATTGAAGAGTTTCGTGGAATGTAAACATGTCATCGTAAGGTAATTCTTTACTGAAGAAGGCTAAATCTACGAAAAATATTCAATTGACTTTTTTTCTTCCCATCTAACCCATTTGTATCGATTTTTGCTGCATTTAGTATTTAAAACGGCGTGAAACTACATTGATTCAAGTTTTGATGAAAAGCTAAGAAATAAAAGATGTTTACTATTGTTTGATAAGACTTATGCAAACCGAGGGAGAACTTGAGCGCAGATAAGTACAAGCACGAGACCGAAATACATACACAAAAGATACATCGATATCAAATACATCCACAAAGACTTCACAGCCAAATATTTGAAATAAAGCCAGTTTTAAAATGTTGAAACTCTTAATCACAATCGAGATGATTGGTGTTTATTTCAATTCAGTTCACTTTCATTTCAGTTTTAAAATAGACGTGGCTAAAATCAACTTTTCTCGAAGCTTTCTGTACGCTAAGCGTAATAAATGTCGATATCACCGTAAATCGTCTAAAAAGGCAGACATTAAAACTCAAAAACTTACAGTGATTTTTCTTTTATTTAACAGCAGCATCTGCTGTCTATGTTTTATCGAGAAAAGGTATCAATGACGTCTAAATTGTGCAACGCATTTAAGAATAACATAAAGTTTTAGACTAAGACTAAAAATCAAATAGTTACCCGCGCAATTTGACGCAACAATATTTAGTTACCAGCTTTCTTGCTGCTCATTGTCTGACAAATAAAATGGCGTTTGTATAAACATAGCAGATCTTTATGTATGCCACCTGCATAAAAACCATAATGATAGGCAATAATCTCGCCACAATCTTCATTGCCATTGTTATTACTAGGTTGGCTGTCCCCCCAGTTGGTGAAAACCGGACGACGGCCATTAGTAGTGTAGAATTTCAAGCCGAGGCCTAGGGCCGTCTTGAAGAAACCAATAAAAGCCTTATTTATCCTTTTTTTACTCATTTCTGAATAAAGATAGTCATTGTTTGTCTTTGAGAAGGGAACTGCAAGTTCAGCACCTTTATCCAGACAATACTTTCTTGCATTAAGCCAGGTGGTTGTGTGATTACTGAAATAGTAACAATTTCCATGTACATACTCCCAACCTATATGAGAATTTTAACTGTTTTCAAAATTTCTCAGTTAAACTAGTTTTTTATTCTAAGACAATATTAGTGCTAAACTCTTATGTGCACTTACCATTCAACCGTCTCCAAGCACTTGCCAACACAAACAGCTGTAGCAGTACTTCCATGTTGCTGTTCATTTTCTCAATGATGTTATTTCTTTAAAAATGGATAGTGTTACTTATTACTTGTGTACCCCATGTATTTTTAGTGAATCCTATTTCTTTGAGAGTATTTTATTGTATCGTGTATTTTTAGTGCTTGTCGAGGTGTATCCTTGTGCATCTTATTCGTTTAGTTTTCCTGTTCGAATGATGTAGCGTCAAGACGAAACATGTGACTATTACGACCCAAGTGATACATAAGGTATAGTATAAGACAAAAAAATTGTCATCAAATCCGGCAGGGACATAGGAGGGCTATTTCCCTCCCCGCCCTTTATTAATTTTGCCGACGTTTTACTTTCTGAAAAGAGCCCCCGCACGCTTACTTTTTAACCAACTTCAGTGCTAAGAAATTCCATATAAAAGTGTCAGATGAATGATGTAAGAAAACTTGGGACGCTAATAATGTGTGAATTACATGATAGTTCATATGCATTGAACAAAAGCAAGGCAAGATAGAATTGAGACCAATAACGGTTGGCGTTTTGGATTGATCGACTTGCCAAGCTAAACCCAGAGCGACTGCAGTGTGTGTGTGTGATTGGCGACGAATTCAAGTTTGTCATAGTATATAGTTGCAGCTCTTGATAGTAACGCTGTGACAGCATGTACTCTTAGAAGAGTGGCAAGAACACAATGAAAAATGCAGTAGAAATGCTGAGCTTTCAATTCGGAGTTGCAAGAACTTATGTCGCCGAAATAGGCTCGGTCATCCTACTCTTAGGCAAATTTTTTCAATTCACAATTTTATTGTATAAAGGCAGTTTCATGTTTAGGTTTTAATCATACTTGTGAGTTGTCTACTCATGTATACAGTTTTGTGTGTGTTTCACTTCCTGTATCCTACAATGCATTGCGTTCCGCTTTGTTTTTTTTCTTAGTTGATTCTCTCTCTTGCCAAGAGATATATATTGTGTTAAATAAATAAGCATCCTAATCCACATCAATCTTAAATAAACAACAGGTTATGGGCCCAGACACCCATTCCAACTAAGAAAATAAACATCAGTGATCATGGATGATAAAAGCTGGAGTGTGGATAAGCTCACTACAGACAATTACTCAACTTGGAAATTCAAACTCAAACACCTTCTCATAGCAAAGGACTTGTTTGGATATGTAGATGGATCCATTACTCTGAGCAGTGAGGCCAGTGAAGCAGACAAGACCGCTTATAAAAAGAATCATAGCAAAGCTTTCTCCCACATAGTCTTATCAGTAAGCGACAATCTCATCTATTTGATCACTGAATGTGCTAAAGCCCAAGCAGCATGGGATAGGTTGAGTGCTCATTTTGAGCGTGATACTCTTGCCAACAAACTGTTTCTCAAGAAACAATACTTTAGAACTGTTATGAAGGAAGGTACGTCTATGCAGGAACATCTCCGACATATGAAAGCCATAACAGACAAACTCGCAGCGATCAAAGCTAATATAAGCGAAGAGGATCAGGTCGTCACTCTGCTCGGTAGCCTCCCCGATAGCTACTCAACTGTCGTAACCGCTCTAGAGGCACGAGGTGACGATATATCGCTGGAGTTTGTGACTCAGACATTACTTAATGAGGAACAGAAGAGAGAACAAAGATCTCTGGCTTCGGCTGGCGTATCTGGTAGTGGCAGATCTCAAGCCAATTCTGACACTGCCCTGCTGTCGGCCAATAGCAGAGCTGATCAGCAAAATAGAGGATGCTATATATGTGGTTCTTTGGACCACTATCAGAATGTCTGTCCCAGAAAGAGCAGTAGTGGTAGGGGAAGTCGCGGATCTCGTGGTGGTAGAGGACGTAGAGGACGTGACCGTGGCTATCAAAATAACTCTGACAGACCTCATCATGCTAAGATGTCACAACAGGATGATGGTGATAGCGGTGAGACGGCGTTTGCGGTGTCCGAGGGTAACGCCGAACCTCAACTCTGGCTAATCGACAGTGGAGCTACTAGTCATATGGCCAAAGAACGAGATGCTTTCTGTGACTACACGCCTGCTGCACCAGAATCACCCGAGTATGTTATGATAGCCGATGGTTCCAAGATACAAGTGAGGGGGAAAGGTAGTGTGAAACTTCAGGTCTGGGAGTGTCGAAATAAATCCAGATATGCTACTCTGTACAATGTGTTACATATCCCCGAACTAAGTGGAAATCTGTTCTCAGTAAAAGCCGCCACTCAGAATGGCTACATAATCCAATTCGGACATTCTCGATGCTGGGTCAAAAATCGTAGAAAGATGGTGTGTGCATCTGGCACCATGAGAGATAAACTTTACTACCTCGATGTTAGAACCGATGATCATTCTGCTAGGTGTGCGTCTAATACAGTTCTGTGGCACCAACGTCTCGCACATGCTAATATCAACAGTATCAAAAAAACATGACTCAGTGGTGTAACAAGGGCTGTAATCTATCAGGTAACATTGGTGTGTGTGAAGCCTGTGTAAAAGGCAAGATGACTCGTCAACCATTTCATACTGATAACATGATCAAATCAACCAGGGTGCTCGAGTTAGTCCATTCAGACGTGTGTGGCCCTATGCAAACAGAATCTATAGGTGGTAGTAAATACATAGTGTCATTCATTGATGATTTCTCTCGATATGCTCATGTTTATTTTTTTGCATGATAAATCCAGTGTGTTTCAGGTCTTCAAAGAGTATGAGTCTATGGTTACTAATGCTACCGGTCAGACTATAGGTACGTTGAGAACTGACGGCGGAGGCGAGTATGTATCTCACGAGTTTGAGAGTTACCTGACTTCACGAGGTATTCAGCATCAGCTGACTGCACGATACCCTGCAGCAGAACGGCTGTGCCGAACGTTATAATCGTACTATCTGTGAGGCAGCACGTTCACTCATCGCTCAATCCGGTCTTCCCAAAACGTTTTGGGCTGAAGCAGTAGCCACCTCTGTGTATCTGAGAAATCGTCTTCCCACGCGAGCTCACAGAGAGGTCATAACTCCTTATGAGAAATGGAACAATAAAAGGCCTGACCTCGGACACGTAAGAATCTTCGGATGTCTAGCGTTTGCTCACGTTCCAGATCAGCTGCGACGAAAGCTGGATGAGAAAGCAGACAAGATGATATTCGTGGGATATAGCCTCAGATCCAAAGCGTATCGACTCTACAATCCGCTGACTAAGAAGATAGAGGTGCGCCGTGATGTAGTATTCGACGAAACTAAGCTAGGTATGCCCAAGTCTACTGTCAAACCTGAGGAAGCTCTCTCTGAGACTTTAGAAGTAGACCTACATGTAAACAACACTGATGACTCGTCCCCACCTACCTCCGCACGTCCATCTCGTTCTACTCAACCCATCATCCGCTTCGGTATTGATGATCACACTGGTATGGGTCACGTTGCCTGCTCAGCCACTGATATCATAGAGCCACTGTCTTTCTCAGAGGCGCAGGAGAGTGTGAATCGTGACAAATGGATGACTGCTGCTGAAAGTGAGTATAAATCACTTA